TGGCTTGAGGAGCAAATGCGTGTTTCTCACTGCACGTACAGTCTCAACAAGCACGGCGAGATTTGCCAGATTGCCAAGCTAGGAGGAGACGCCCTGGATGCGCCGCTGTTCATCCAGTGCGCTCAGGGTGCGCTCAACCGATCCAAGGATCTTTCAAACATTGTGGATAACAAGCTTGCCGAGGACGCAAAGCGAAGGGACAGGGGAGGGCTTCTGGCAGAGTTGACGGCTGAGAACGATAGGTGACGCTAACACTTACAACTCAATGCCGATGAAAAGCAATAAGAATAAGGAAAATAGATATCATGATACCCCGAAGAGAGATTGCCATGTGCTTCCCATGCTTCAGTATTGATAGAAGTGATTCACTGATGCTCAAACCAAGACCCAGTACAATACGCCAGCTAGACCGGTCTATCCAAGTCTTTGTCATTGATCATAAAACGCATTAATTGCACAAAAGAACCCTCAAGGTCGATTAGCTACCGCATAACAGGCGGCCGAGACTCCTTGTTCCATTGCACTCGTGTCCTCACCCATTCGATAGCTTCTCGAACTCCATCGCCTGTCAGGGCGCTCAGAGCCAACACACGTGAGTCGCGAACGGCAGACCCCTTGTCTCCCTCCATAACCTTCTTGACCAAGCCTTCCTTGATGCGTATTGTCTCGACACAGTCCTCGCGGTCTTGCTTGTTTGCCAAGATGAGAAGGGGTACGCCTTCGGTCTCTGTGTGTTGTAGAACGTCTTCGAGAACGAGACGACACTCTTCCAACCTGCCCAGGTTCTCATCGTGCTCAATGTTGCCGTCGCCGATATCTGTGCTGTCGATTATAAATACTATAGCATGGCAACTCGTGTAGTAACTCTCCCAAAGTTTGCGTAGGGAGTGCTGTCCGCCTACGTCCCATAACTTCAGGTACATGTCCTGCAACGGTATTGTTGAGACATTCTGACCAACGGTAGGTACTGTCTTGAGTTTCGGATCGGGTCTGTTTGGCAAGAACATTGACTTGACTTGTTCGTGAAAGGTTGTTTTGCCAGCGTTGTCGAGACCTAGAAGAATAACCGAATATTCTGGAAGGGAGATGTTAGTATAGGCTAACTCCAAAGAACAGAGAGGCGGTAGCTCTTTGTACTAACCTTCTTTACTCGTTGCATAGAGGTAGAGCCCTTTGGCGAGATGATACATCGTTGTCGCGGAGTTTATAGCTAGAGAATCGAAGCATCTAATGCGTATTTTGTATACAAGAGGTGGATGCGACAGTGTGACTGTTGAGTGAAGATGATACCTTGCGGCTCTAATGTGAAATATTTATGTAGCTACACGAGCCTCTATTAGGTGGACGTGGTCTCTGTCGCGGGGGTTTGGTTCCTGTAGGATTTAGTGGATAGAGCCACTGAAGAGCCTCATTGAAAACGCCCTGTCCCCCGCCAACCGCCCTGGCCTGAGCACGGACAGCCGCCCTTGAGCCCCGCTGACTTGCATGGAGTTGTACAACCATTTAAGATCGAGTCCTCGTTTGAGATCACAGGGCACAAGGTGGCATTTATCCTATTCAGAGTCCTATTGATTTTTTGCCTACGGCTAATTACTTTTCTTTGTGTTTCGATCAGATAGAGGTTAGTTTGGGCTGTCTTGGTAGTCAATGCGTAGAGCAAGATAGTATCTGAGGACTTCCTTGACAAAAGACTGTAGGCGACCTCGCTTCAAAAAGGTATATATTAGTAGACAAAGTTGATTATTGCGATCAAGCAAAAGCGTTAGATTGTAGCTTGGGTTTTGTGGTATTATAAATGATTATGCTGCTTATCCATAACACAGATTCCATAGTTGACTGCACCTAGGTAGGCATCAATTAATTAATAGTGGAATAGCCAATCAGAGTATTGCTTTATTGAAAGCTGTCGCCTTTCATCTCCTGCGCCTATCTTGGTTACTTGGCCCACCTTAGCTTAGGTGTTGGATCCAAGCTTCCTGGCCATCGCATATTCCAATCATCCCTCCATCCACCCATACCTCTCTACTCAGATACAGGTACAGCATTCTTTCTTCTGACACTTACAAATTATTTGCTGCCTGGACGTTGCCTCCATTTCCGTCCCCCCGTCATCACCAACTGTACGATCCGAATACTGCTTCTATTGCGCTCTCGCCCCTTTGCGAATGTTCTCAGTATCGCATTTTACGAGGTTCGCGCAGGGAGTCTCCCACTTGATCTCGCCCTAAGCGAAGCGATCGCGATATAATCTCCAACACTTCCACGACTTTCGTCCATTCGTACACGGACGGCTCTTTCGTAATGGCTTCGGCAAAACTTGTTGGAATGGGCTTCCAGCTCCTTAGTACGCTACATCCTAGTCCGACTCGACTCCCACGACATGAGGGCTGACGTATTGAACATAGAGCGAGCCACCGATGAAGAAGACACCGACCCCGAGGGTGTGTTTCCCCACGCAAGACATGGACGATTCGATACACCTTTACAATTACTGACCATGACTTCCAGAGGGTGACTCTGCACAGAAGGAACTGTTCGCAGCATGGGCGCTCTTCATCTCGATTATGTTGCTCATAGTCGCCTTTTTCACAAGCTACATGCTTCAGATGAAGAAAGTCACTGCTATACACGAAACGGTTATATCTATTTTTGCCGGTACGCTTTGGAAATCTGTCGTCATGCGATCCAATGCTTACACCCTCTCTTCTCATAGGAATGGTGGTTGGGCTTGTTCTTATGATCTTTGGAGGTGACTCCATTCGAACCATGATCAGCTTCGACTACCAGATCTTCTTCAATCTGTTACTGCCGCCCATTATTCTGTCTTCGGGCTATGAACTGCATCAAGCCAACTTCTTCCGAAATATCGGTACTATTTTAACATTCGCCTTTGCTGGAACCTTCTTGTCGGCTGTTGTTATTGGCCTCATCCTGTACTTATTCACCCTTATTCCTGGATCCTTGGAAATGTCCTTTGTCGATGCGATTTCAGTCGGCGCAACTCTCTCTGCTACCGACCCTGTGACTATTCTGGCCATTTTCAACGCTTACAAGGTCGATCCGAAGTTGTACACCATCATCTTTGGAGAATCCATCTTGAACGACGCCATTGCCATTGTCATTTTCGAAACTGCGCAAAAGTATAAAAAGGGCGAGGCTGCTGGACTTAGCATCATCAGTTTCTTCGAAGGCACAGGCATCTTCTTGCTGGTCTTCTTCTGCAGTTTGTTCATCGGCTTTCTTGTCGGTGTTGCTACGGCACTTCTGCTCAAGTTCACCTATCTCCGTAGGACCCCCAAGATTGAGAGCTGCTTGATGGTTCTGATCCCATACGCTACTTATTTCTTTTCTCATGGTCTTCACATGTCCGGTATGTTACCTTGAGTCAATCTCTCTTCACCCGGATTCTAACATCTATGCAGGTATTGTGTCGTTACTTTTCTGCGGCATCACTCTTAAGCATTATGCCTATTTCAACATGTCGCGACGAACTCAGCTTACGACAAAGTTCATCTTTCAGATCTTGTCGCAATTGTCCGAGAACTTCATCTTCATTTACCTGGGACTAGCTCTGTTTACCGACAACCATCTTCAGTTCCAGCCTCCTCTCATTATTGTAACTATCCTGGCCGTTTGCGCTGCTAGATGGGTCGCCGTATTCCCCTTGTCCAAGGCTATTAACTGGTTCATCCGATACCGCGCCAGCAGACGAGGGCAGGAGGTTGGCGACGAGCTGCCCTACAACTACCAGGCTATGCTTTACTGGGCTGGTCTAAGAGGAGCTGTCGGTGTAGCTCTGGCTGCTTTGCTCACTGGCGAGAACTCCCCTGCACTCCGAGCCACTGTTCTAGTCGTGGTTGTGCTCACCGTTATCATTTTCGGAGGCACTACCGCTCGTATGCTTGAGATCCTTGGAATCCGTACCGGTGTTGTCGAAGAAGTTGACAGCGATGACGAATTCGATATCGAAACATTCGGAGGGGGTCTTCAAGTCAAGCGATCAGGAACAGGAATTGGTTACAATCCTCGCAGGAATGGCAGCGTCGCTCTTGGCAGCCTCGAAGCAGGCCAGTCTGCTAGTTATGTATCTGGCGCTTCGTCTCCGCACACGGGCGGCCGTCCTACAAGCAAAGTACGAAAGAACTCTATACCTGAGAGATCTGACCTTCTTCGCCATAATGATGATTCAGACATTGGTAGCGACATTGACGTCTCCGATTTACCACCTCCAGCTCGTCGCTCGCCACTTCCGCGCTCCAACACCGCTACTCCATCTCGTGTTGACAGTGCATACGCGACTCCTATATCGGAAGCACCCGGAGGCCAACCGATCACCGCATCCAATGCGATCCGGCAACTCTGGACCTCGGAGGATCCTGCCAGTGTCTTCCACCATCTCGACGAGGACTTCATCAAGCCCAGGTTGCTTCTTCAGGGGGACAGTTCCAGAGGCGGCAACGGTGGACCTAGCTGAATGAGTGTATATAGTAAATGATGGAATTCCGTGTTTCCCATTCCAAGTTGTGGGCTGTACAATCCATGTGCATGACCGGCGTTAGGTTTTAGTTGTATAGAAATATATTCATAATAGATATAAATGATTTGGTCCGGACGTTCATCTCGCCTTCGTCAGTTAGGAATTGTGTCACGCATCCTTAAGTATGTACAGTGATTTGATTTGAATAAGGGGTGTTTGTAGTTGCCCTAAACGAGTAAGGACTTATGTGGCCATCTACCTATTTTCATGTCTTTAACTACTATGATTAATAAATAATCTACAGATGCTCTCCAACTGATGCCTTCAAAACTTGACCCGCCCGTTGCTTCATAAGCAGTTACGCAATCGTACAGCCAGAATCGTCATGTTTTCTCTTTCGCTCAAACGCTTTTCATGATAAGACAAACACCAATATCGATCGCTCCTAATACACCAAGCCAAGCCAAACCCATAGTTCCAGAAACCCCAACAAGAAAACTGTGCAATTTTGCCAACTCTTCCACTAGCCAGCCGAGGGTGTAGCGCTACCGCTTGCCTGCCTCTGTTGCTGCTGTTGTACTTGATGTTGTTGGACCTGTGCCTGAACCTGGGCCTGGACCTGTTGCTGAGGCTGCTGTTGTTTCGCCTGCGCTTGCTGCTGCTGAGACTGTTGCTGTTGGGGCTGATGTTGAGCTTGGTGAGGCTGCTGATGTTGTTGTCCGGGGCTGCCCGCTGCTGCACTTGCTTGTTGCTGCTGTTGTTGTCGAAGTAGCGCGGCATATTGGTGAGGGCTAGTTGTGGCTGCAATACTGCCAGCAAGTCCGCCTTGACCAGCCGTGCCAGCAGCAGAGTTCATCGCAGAGCGTTGCGCCATCATGAGCCGTGTTAAGTGTTCTGTGGCTAGCTGACGGGCCTGCTCAGAGGTAAGGCTGGGGTTTTTAGCGCGAAATTGTGCCTCGAGCTGGTTCAGTTGAGCCAGGATAGCTGGTGGGAGTTGCGTTTGTGGTCGCGGGGCTATTGAGCCTGCAGGGCCAGATGGCATATGGAGGCCGTTTGGCTGTGGTGAGCTAAGATTGCCCTGGTTGAACTGAGCCATCATCGCCTGCGCGTTATTAAGGAAACTCTGTTGATTCATTGGATTGCCGCTGATGCCGTTGACACCATTTATTGCGTTCCGCATCTGGGCAGGAGGACTCTGCTGGGCGCCTGCTGCCCCTTGACCAGGGGTGCCAGGACCGCCTTGAGCATGCATCTGTGCAGCCCGTTGCTGTTCAGAGATACGTTGGGCACGCATCATTAAGCTAACATCAGGCGGGGGGTTTGGCATGGGCATACGGTTGTGTTGCCCCTGCATTGCCTGCAGTTGTGCTTGTTGCACACCAGTCATCTGGTTCGGGGGCACAAGCCCACCAGCCATGTGAGCTGGCACACCTCCCATACCAGCAGTAGCAGTTGATTGCATGGGCATTCGTGGACGAGCTTGTCCTGCAGCGGCTGCAGCGGCCGCCGCGAGTTGGTTAGGGACATTAACACGGCCAACACCGTTCATACCGTTGGCTGCCGCTGCTGCAGCGGCGGCGGCGGCAGCAGCTTGCGCTGAATTCTGACCGGCCTGCACGGCTCCAGGGGTACCAGCAGCCATTTGGGCAGCTTGACCTTGAACTCTGGCTTGCAAAACGGCCTGGGAGGATATCAGCTTTATGCTTCCGTTGGGCCGTGCGGCTGTGTTACTTACTCGTCTTTGAGCCTCTTGCCTTGACGCAAACTGCGCCATCTTTTCTGCCAGAGCTTGGTCTCTTTCGTAGCGTAGCCTGCTGTATTCTCCTGGTGTTTTCGTTGGGCGTTGTGATGCAGACTCGTTGGTCTTTTTGTTGGCAGCATTCTGCGATGCCGCGTGTTGCTGCTTCTGCGCTGTTGTCTCCCGTTTCTTTGCCAGCTTACGCATGGCATCAAGCATCGTGAGATGTTTCTGGTTACGTCGCCTCTCCACTCTGATGGGAATAGATTGAGGTCTTCGTCGCCCAGGAGTGACTGCTCCATTGGCCTGGTTGACCTGCTGTGCCATCGCCTGGTTCTGCATGTTAATAAAATTCTGGGCTTGATTAATGCGACCCATGTAAGCCTTGAAGTACTGTGTCTTTGACATGTCCGCTGGGAGTCCTTCCAGATTGATCCACCTCTCGAAGCATTCCCAAGGAGTGCGTCTCTCTGCACCAGAGTTGAAAATGGATCTAGGTGCAAGTATACTAGAAATGAGGGACCAGTTATAAGAATGCTCCCGGACAAGGCTCCGAAGTTCATCGTCCTCAGCAATGGTCCATTGTGAGGGGCTGCGACATTCGAAGAAACTTTGAGAGGGCATGGGGTACTCTGAAGGTGGTCGGAATTGATGGCCAACGTATAAGCGATCGCGAATATGCTTCATCTCAGGGTTAAATAAAGCAACCTCGTCGGTAACCGGTGGTAAGGGAAGACTGGGCGTGGAATCGTTGCTAACAAAACCAGCCTCGCCTTCATCGTCAGAATCTTCGTTTTGATAATTATACCGACTGCGCTTTCTTGGTGGGCCATCTGAAACCAACTTCATGTGACCCTCGACATACTTGCTCAAGGGCAGAGCTGGTCGTCGCCAATGAGCGTCGGGATCCCATTCGGGACCTGTAAGATCGAACTTAGGGACCTGAAGAGGTGCTCCGAACATAGGGAGCTCCTCCAAAAGCTGGTCTGCAGCGGCAGTTCGACGTAGACCGAAAACGACATCCTCGTCTTGAAGGTTGAATATGGCGGATGGAGCTATTGTCTCGGGGAAGTCTTCGGTAAGATCATCCAGATTGTCGATAGATTCGACATCTTCGCTAGCGACCAGATCAGGAGTAGAGTGGTTTGCACCCTCGACATCAACCATGTCGACATCGGTTGCAGGCTTAATACTGGAGGGGATAACAGCTTGAACTTGCAGCGCCTTCCGCTCCTCAGGGGTAGCTTCATGCCATTCTGCACAAGCATATGCGAGATTCTTGGCTACAGCTCTCTTCCATTTTCGTTCCTCTCGGAAATCTGTTCGCATCCATTTCATTTCTTGCAGCACGACATCCCAGTGAGATGGGGGGCGAGTAGGCTCAGGGCAGCGTTTGGGTTGCCGCAGGGACCATTTATCATGCTGCTGGAGATGGTAGACGCGCCGCAAAACCTTACATGCTTGGTGGTCCTGGATGGCGAGGTTGGCGTCCGGCGTCGTAACGGTCTTGTTGGCTGTGTATAGAACTTTCTCGATCGGTTGCATCCATGATGAACTACCAGCAAAGCCCTGAACAAAAAGAGGGGTGTAGTAGTCTTCGGTCGGAAGAATCGTGTCACGCTGACTGGGCACCATTGACCTTTCTTCACCCTTCTTGGACTGCTTACCGAAAACAACCGTCGAGGGCTGGCTGCGGGATCTCTGTCTTTGATGAGCGGAAATATGACGATGTCTCAGGGTCGGTGATTTAGGAGTAGAAGTTAGAGGAGTCAGCTGATTGTTTGAGCTCTTGTTGGTAGAAATATGTTCCAGCGTCGGGGTTTGGCGAGGGGTCACGCCAACAATTTCACTGACAGACTTTGGGCGCATCGCCCCAGACGAAACTCTAGTGACAGCACGCTCAACCTTCGGAGGCGAATCTTGACGAACAGACTCGACAGGTGCAATGGGCTCAGTTATATGCTGTGGAGCAGGTGCAGGCCGGCCATCGGCTGCATCTAACTTCTCGGGTGATATGGGCGCCCCGGTTTGACTTTCAGTACTTGCTTTAGGTTCAGGCGCATCCACGTCCATCTGTTCAGGGGGTTCCTCTTGACTGTCCGGAATTTCCTTATTAGCCGAAGCTTCTGCAGGTGTACCAGTCGCTGAGGCGGGTTTCGCATCAGTATCAAGTACTTGCTGAACATGCTTCTCCTCGGCCCCTCCACTAACTGTGGGCGCAGCCTTGACAACTCTATCATCAATACCCGACATATTAACATCCTCAGACACTGGTGCTGATATGGCAGCGTCTGCTTCATGGCTAGTGCTCGCTGAGGTCCGTGCTGTCTCTATCTCTGCTGCAACGCTCGATCGGATAGATTCTTGGAGGAGCTGGGCTTCGGCAGATTCTGGGGGTGCTTCCAATACACGGTCTTCCAGGTCTTTGGTTGAAGCTCGAACATCATCACTTTCCTGACTCTGATGATGTTTATCTGTGCCTCTCTCATAGACGCCATCGTCGGTCTTTTCCTGTTCTGCTGGCTCGACATACTGTGGCCCCTCATGTTCCGGACTTGTATCTGTGGAAGCATCGTCATGCACCGCGGGAGTAGTCGCACTTTGTGCTGTTGAACCAGGCGAAGATAATGCATCGGCGGGACGAGTAACATCGGCAGACGGCTTGACTGTTGAAGAAACGCCTGTAGTCACAGCAGAATCCACGACCCCCTGACCAGGCTTCGCTGACAAGGACGTTCCAGCTTCAATATGCTCGCCCTTCGTTCCTGATTCAAAGGTGACTTGAGGTTGGCGCGGTACGGATGCGCCTTCGTTCGAATCGGCAGGGTTCTCTCCGTTCGTGATTGGATTCGTATTGGCGTCAGTAGGGGTAGGAACATCCTGAGAGGCTGTCGGTATCGGCTTTACAATCGCATCGGTAGGTGGGAGCACAGCTTGTGCATTTGTGGCAGATGGGAGAACGGTGTTGGCGGTCGTAGCTGGCTCTGTTGAAACCTCGGGGGTTGAAGGCCTTGTTGAAGCAGCAGCATCATCGGCTTTTGTAGGTAAAGGTGCCCTGTTGGATTGTTGTTCGTCCTGCGCATCCGTTATATGCGATTCGTTTGCTTCCTCCGACGTTTGCTTCGGTGCAGATTCATTGGCAATGAATATCGACTTTGCGAGAGATTTCTTGAACACTTCTAGCGAAAAGTTTGGCCTCGTTGGGATGCTGGCTTCATTCAGCGTCTTGCTTCTATGGTGATATTAGCATGTTACAGGCATTGACAGCACAATGCACGCGCAAATTGATTCTAAAAAGCGCGTGTTCAATTTACAGAACGTACTGGATAATATCATTGGCTTGCAAAAATTGCCATTCAGCTGGTGTTGTGGTCGGCGCGTCGGGGTTGGTTAAGACTGGGTGCGGCAGACCCTCGGACTGTGTCGCAACAGCGAACAGTTCGCGAAGCTTTCGCTTCCGCGACGTCACGATTGAACTGAGGCAAGTTAGCACGCCGAAAAACACATCGCCATGATCGGAAAAATCAGCTCTTTCATTTGAGCCTATACTGACCTGCACTCATTGCGCTTTGATTGAAGCAGCCTTGATAGATCGGCAGCTCCGACCTCAGTCATAGCATCGACGGCCGCGACATCCGTTTTGGGTTGAAACGGACGTTGCAAAAAATGATTTCAAGTCGCCTGAGATGAATGCACGAGTTTTTGACGATGAAAAAGGTGGTTGTAGATTGATTTTGGGGTGTCGATGTTGAGGGCGATGTCGCTTGAGGGCGTCAAATTTTCTGTCTCTGGGGAGACGATACCGTGGTGTTTGGTGGTTTGCAGCTCAAAGCACTGAATGCAGTGGAGTTTAGTTGAAGCGCGGGCACATGGGGGACATTGAACGCTGGGGAAGGTATCGGAAGAGACTAGAGAGTGCGGGACTGGCGGTGGATTAGGGGGGGCAATCAACCAGGCTTGCAGCAAATAGTGGGTGTAGCGCGAGTGGCGGGCAGGAGAAGTGAGGATCAAGGTTTGGGATAAGGCCAAGGTTTGTGGAAAACGAGATTCAAATTTCTGGATCAGCATCTATTTTTTGCACTGTGCTAAAATTGTCCAACCGTAGTGCCAAGTGCGCGAGAGGACCATAGAAAGGGGTAGAAGCTTTGAGGACAGCACGGTATATGGCTGCACGTCAGGCACCGTGTCCAATACGCTCATATTTGCGTTTGGAACAGTCATTTAAATCCCCACCGCGTACATTAGACTACTGTATGTATCCTTTCTCGGGCTGCAACCTGTAAAAAAAGCAAATGGATGTGTACATGTTAGTGAAATGGATGTTGGGCATACTGCGTATAGTAATTATTATCTTTCAATCCTCTTCTACCTTGTCATCCATAGGACTGAATATCATATTCTCTCTTACCTGATTCAAGCTTTCATCTAGGACTATCAATAACAAACAGTGCGCCACTACCTTCGTACAGAGGGAATCAGCTGCTAGTGCAGTCTACAAGAACTTATGGTTTCCGTTAAGCATCCAGGTAAGTATGTCCCGAAGTGCCCGTTATAGTTATGTATACAGAAACTTCATTTCGAGATATTTCGCATAAAACAATTCCTTCAATTCTCAAGAAGCAGATTCTTATTTCTTCGAAAGTATTGATCTTTTGGCGTTCTACTAAACAATGAGCCTCACTTTAATTGTGCATTGACCGCTCGATCGGGTTCTCAACAAGGTACTTCCGTCACAGTTCAGCCACTCTCCAAACAGAATCGGTGTAGCCACAATATGTGCGCCACAGAAGACTCTCGGCCGCCTGCTTCTGACGTCTTTCAAATTTGGTGGTTCTACACGATTTTGTTCTCAAGTGACATAAAAGAACTGCTCAGCAGCACACTTCTTCTTCCTTCAGCACACGTCTTTCAAAATTAAATACATCTCCTCTGTCGCGATATTCGCTGCATGGGATTTTATCAACAAAACGACTAGCCAAAAATGTCAGAACAAAACAAGCCAGCAGCGCCGCGGATAGCAATCAAATTCGGTACTCCTTCGAATAGCAATGATTCAAAAAAGCTTGCAAAAACAAACCCGCCCTCGGCGCTAGGGAAGAGACCGCGACCACACGCTCTAGGAGGAGAATCTGATTCCGAAGACGACCAAGATGACCACCGTGGACGACACGAAAAGATCACAGGATTCGGTGCGGAGGGCGCAGAAACAGAGCGCAAAGCGAAGGACCCAAGGACAGAGAAAAAAGACTACGTGATTGCTCGGCAAACCAATCGCGACTGGAGATCAGAGGCCAAAGCACAGAGAAAGGGAAAGAATCTACTTCCTGAGGAGGCCAGGGCTCAGCAAGCCGGAACAACAGTCGAAACAGAGCCCGCAGATCAGGATAAGGGTCTAAAATGGGGTTTAACAATCAAGGAGAAGACTGAGGACGATAGAAAGGTCCTCGCCAATGAAAAGGCCCCCAACCATGACGATAACGATCAGAAGCCACCTCCCAAACGATCGGCAGACGATGAAGCTATAGATGCGCTACTAGGGAAGAAGGAGGAAGAGGATAAGGTTATCCATCCAACCGAAGAGGACGCCTACCGCCGCGACATCCAAGAAGCGGGTGAAGCATCTACTCTCGACGACTACGAATCCATGCCTGTGGAAGAGTTTGGCGCAGCTCTCCTACGAGGCATGGGTTGGGATGGCAAGTCTCTTGGCAAAGTAAAAGAAGTCAAACGACGTCCTAAGGGGCTCGGTCTTGGTGCCAAGCAGCTCAAAGGGGAGGAGGACCTGGGCGGATGGAATCAGAACGGGCAAAAGAACAGGCCGCCACGCCTAGCCGACTACCGCCGAGAGGAGATTAAACGAAAGGATAGCCGTCGAAATGAGGACAGTTACAAACGGGAGCGCGAGCGCGAGCGAGAAAGAGAAAGGGATCGAGACAGCAGGCATGGACACCGTGACCGCGACCGTGATCGAGACCGCGAAAGAAACAGAGACGACCGACACCGAAGTCATCGAGACTATGATCGGCGACGTTGAGGCAATGAAACCAGCATTGCAGTATTAATACACTATCGGTTTATGGGAACGGCGCAATCGTATTTCCATGGTAAGGGGCAACTTGGGCTTCGGTAAACGTCCATTGCAACACATCATGTTACCTAGACTAGACATTCACAGGACACAAGTTTCAAGCCGCTAACGTGCAGAGGGGATATTGATTTGAGTATTAACTATGCATTTTTAATTAAAAGACTACAATTACAGCCTAGGCCGCATGATCGGGGTATACGTATACTATATTCCTTCAACCCAACGCCGTGCACTCCTTCATGAGCAAATGATTCTACCTTGCTGGCACGGTCAATCTATCCGTTCCAAAAGGGGCTTTTCCTCCAGCTCCACCTTCGGCCATGTTGCCATCGGCATCAGCCAGCGATGCGAGGCGTTTCTTCTCACCGTATCTCTTTGTCAAATTCAACGATCTTCGAATCGACATGCTTCGATCCCGGCCAGACTTTCCTTCACCACGGCCACGATCTCGATCAGGATCCACCACATCTTCAAGATCCTTCCCTTGCTTGAGCGCTTCCAACGACTTTTGGGCGGCGTCCACGTCTTCGAATACGACCTCGGTATCAATAAGGACCCGATCGATCTGCCCTGCGATACCACGCTGCTTCTCCAACTCCTGGAGTTTCTCTCTCAACTCCTTCATGACATCCCATCCGTCCATTACTTCCTTCTCTAGTTGTTTCTGGCGATCTTCTGGGAGTGTCTTGTACTCTCTCTGTCCTTGAGCCATGCGAGCCCGGCGGATGTACTTCTGGGGCGTCTTGGATCGTTCGGCCTGCTTCACAACGCCCTTCAGCGTGTAACCGACCGGACCAACAATAGCAGACAAATTCTTGAGTACGAGCCCTGTCAAGCCCATACCTGTGCCCTTGACAAACCCAATTGGTCCATTTTCTTTTGCTCCGCGGTATGGAAGACGAACAACTCCTGTGAAACCATCATAGACACCATAGGCAAACTCGTGCCCGGCTGCTCGAAGTCCAGAATGAAAGCCAGTTACTCGAATGGGTCGTCGTACCGTATTGTCGCCATATAGTCGAGGAGCATTGTGAAATCCCTGTGCCAGAGCCATCGAGAGGTCCACGGGCGCCTTGGCGATAGCTGTAGCTGTCCTTTCAACACCACTCGCCATATCGCCAACGTACTGTCCGCTTGCATCCTCAGCTGTCGTCTCGGTGTGCAGCGAAGCACCATCTGCTGAAGTTTCAGGATCTGCTGTATCGTTTTGAGGTGCTTCACGGTCGGTCTTCTTAGTTTTCTTTGACCGTTTTACGCTCTTCCTTTTCCTGATCGACTTTGTCCTTTTTGCCCAATGATAAGGAACGCTAGCAACGCCATGAAATGCTTCACCAACTGTGCCAGCAATGGAACCAGCAATTCCAGTGACAGGCTCTCCGGGGCCTTCGAAATCATTCCATTCTTTATGCCTGAGGAGTCTCAAGCGCTTCCAGGTCAGCTGCCCATTATCAACAAGCATGTCAGCAGCCAAGGCACCCAATTTGATATTGGTTCCTTTAACTTCCCAGACAGCTGTGCGGTCTTTGAGGATGGAGCATCGCAGAATACTAGGAGGTGTGAGATTTAACTGTCGGTGGAACTCCTTGACGGCATTTTCAGCACCATCACCTTCTTCTGCAATACGCTTCGCGATTTTTTCTGCGGCTTCTCTTGCCTTGTCTGTGAGACAATACTCGATGCCTTCTGCGAGTTTCTCTGCGTTTAAATGTTTGTAGGGGATTGGTTCAGGGCCGACGTCTGCGCTGCTCACCATCTTGCCCCAGAAATTCTGGTCACCGAAGAAGGGAACGATCATTGTTGGCTTGCCACACTTCAGTGCAATGGCGGTTGTACCCGCGCCTCCGTGAATTACGCAAGCTTTCACCCTTGGGAAAAGCCAGTCATGAGGAGTGTTGTCGAGCATGAAGATATTGTCCGGGACGTCATCACCTCCAAGTCCACCCCAGCCCTTCGACACCAAGGCACGAACCCCTGCCATCTCAACGGCCTTGAAGATCATTTCGGTGAATTTGTCAGCATCGTCGACGACAATAGAGCCAAATCCAATGTAAATAGGAGTGTCTCCAGCCGCTATGAAATCCTCCAATTCCTTTGGTGGCTCAAAGGTCGAAGCCAAGTCAAGGAACACGAAACCAGCCACGTCAATCTCACTGCCCCAGTCCTGTGGCTTAGGTACAAGACCCGGTGACCACAGATACGTGAAAGGCACATGCAGACGATAGGTCGCACCTGGTGCCCAGAGAGTTGATACCGGGTCTAGGGCCAATGTCTTGACACGGAATTCGTTAACCAGATCTCCTAAGCCTTGCCATACCATCATCTCAACCAAGGGGTAAGAGATGAAATTGGTGTATCCTGGATCTACGTTGGAGTTCTTGATGCTCGCCAAGGGATGCGGAAACGCTTGTGTTGGTGTATAGGGAAAGGTAAACATCAAGTGAACAGGGATTCCGAGCGCTTCGGCGCAGTGAATATGTGCAAAACTTGGCGGGTTGGCGATGATGACGTCCGCCACAAAAGGATCCTTTTCACCCATCATCTTTAGGTTCTGACGGTCCGACTCATCGTCTGTGGCATTGATGCAAGCACGCCAGAACCCATCAAACATGGTGGCCATGGCAGCTCGTCGTCGACCAATATCTCCAGCCTTGAATGTCTCAAGAGTTGGTATCAACCCAGGATTCTTAACCATGAAGGCCATAAGTTCGGAAGGGTCACCTCCAACAGAAAAGAACTCGAGTCCCGAATCCTTTTCCACAAAGTCACGAAACGCCGGGTGTGTAGCGATGCGTACACGGTGTCCGTATTCCTCCTTGAGAACTTTACCGATTTTTAGGAATGGCTGGGCATCTCCTCGCGAACCAATAACCATGATGACAATGTTTAGATGTGTCTGGGGTCTTGGGTCCGCCACGGCCGTCGCCGAAGATGGTCGACGTGGGCTCTCAGGAATTGTCAAGTTTGATGGTTTTTCGGCTTGTTCTACCCTTGGGGGTGACACCTTGTTGACCGCTGTACCCAGAGCTTTGCTCAGGTATCCTGTGCCTGCGGTCTCATTGACAGTGATTCGCAAGCGGCCATCCTTCTTGACCTTTCCAGATGTTTGGTAGTTCTGGTTGCCTACGCTGAAGTGACCATATTTGCCATCACCAAGGTCTTTATGTGATGCCTTGTCTTTCTTCCGGTCTCCATCACTTGGGGGTTCTCGCTGGTCGGTCGGTCGATGCTCCTCATCGGACGATGATGATGAACTTCTTCTGGAGTTGAGTGCTGTGTTTTCCTGCCCTTGCCAGATCGCTTTATTCAGATATGATGTACCAGCCCTGGCCGGACCGGGTCGAAAGTATGAATGGTGACGGTGATGATCGCGCCTGGGTTGTTCGGTTTGCCATGTCTTGGTCGGCTTGGGTCGGTCCTTAGGAGCTGATGACTTTTTTGATAATACCTGCCCAGGCGCTTCTGGTACGGGTAGAGGTTGTGAATGAACTCGTGTTTGTCGATGGTCTTCGCTTGGGGGGGGGTTAGGGGTAACAACCTCTTGGTGACTTCTCGGCGATAATGGACTCTCGGGTGACAGTATCGGGCGTGGAACTGGGGCAGGAAAAGCAAGGTCTCCATGATCGTCTGTGATTACTGTTGTGGGTTGCTGTTCATTTTCATCACTGTTATACTTCTGCGATACTTCGAGCTTGAGGTTGTTGTTGTCTTCTGTTTGAGAATCCATGGCAGCAATACTGCGACTCCTCTGTGGGAGCGTGAAGGTTTGTTGTCTTTCTCTCAGGTGCTTTACGGACAGAGGAACTCCAGGAAAGTATGCAGATGACTCTGTTTATAGTGATGGGATATCGTAGTTGTCGTGTCACTGTCGCGTACGCCACTTGATCAGTCGCACCTTGGCAATATGTCTGCTTGACGAATGTTGCTAGAGTCGCGTATATTATACCATGCTTCAGTGTACAAGTGTGTAAAGAAAAGAGAAAGGGGCCGTGGTCAGGTCCGAGGCCATGACAGGTTACTCCTTTCTAGTATTGACAAACAAAATTGGGCAGGCGTCACAAGGCCATTACTCAGGTCTCGGGAATGTTCTTTCCTAATTTCTGGTTCAAAGATACAATGATGTCACTTGCCGTCAGTTCCACTGCGGACCCCTTGGCGCTCGGCCTTCTAGCTTCTTTGGCGCCGCAAGGCTAAATTAATGGGCCTCTGTAGGTCTCATTCAGTGCAAGGAACAGCCCGGCGAGAATCGTCGATGATGGGCCAAACTCGTACCCAGGCAACTCGGGATGGTGCCGGTTTCAAAGGGGCTTTAGCCATGCATTCATTCGTTGTCAACAACAAGCCATAGTTTCTGATTGCTTCACCATAAAGAGATTTGTCACCTCATGACTGCTTCTTCCATCAGTATCAAAGGCATAGTCGCCTGTGATGTTGAACGATATAAACATACGTTTATTCATTGCATATCATGACGTAGTTGTTGTCCTTTAAAGTCAATGCGTTGGCGTAAAATGATAAACTATCATGACTTACGACATGTGTACGGCGATTGCTCTGAGCTACCGATTGACTGCCGTCATACAACTAATACGACTTACACAACTACTGCTAGTTATCGCTTGGCTTGACCTCTCTCGTCGGCGGACTGTTGCGTTGTCTTGGCAAAGAGTTGACAGAAAAGTTATCTACTTTAGTTGCTTAGTCTACATGCAATAAGTGAAAGTGACATGGGGATGTAGGCTAAAATGATCTGCTAATTTCGTCTCTTGCTCTCACTGGCTAGAGTTCGTGAATTGCCCTTGACTGCGGACTCATTGCTCCGGGCATGAAAGTACTATCCACCCTGTACCAGTATCCAAAAACGGCTCTTGTTTATGTGTTACTGACCAATACATTCTGTAGTATTTCAGTATCTCATAATATGACCATTCAAAAATGTGCCTTATTTTATTTTATTTTGTCATTATTAGAGATATATGTCTGTTGTTGCAAAATCTCTAACGCATGCTCTTTCAAGTCACAAACCCTACTATAATAGGTAGCATGGAGAGTGCAAGAATGAAATAAAACAATTGCAGCAATGAGATCAAGACCCTGTATGTAAATATTTTCTTCAAATCTTTAACTTTCATAATCATGAAAATAAAATAATATCATATAATATCATTCATATACAACTGCCAGTTCAACTGCAACACTCTTGTAGTTCTTCTTTACAACTCTAGTGCAGCGGAACGCGCTCAAGGGTATCCGTCAAAATGCCCAGCTGCATCAACACCTCGTCCTGACCTTGTCCATCAATCTCTTTCTTGTCCAGTGCCTCCGTCAATCGCTTGGCAGCAGCAAGCAGAGGGTTCGCATATCGATGCTCTACCGCTGCGGCCATACCTGCAGGAGCCAAGCTTTTATAATCCTGACCACCAAACAAAAACAGAGCAAAGTTTGCGACTTGAAGATGGAAGGGTGCGTTCTGTACCCAGAACTCCAATAGCGCCTCCAAGTCTGTCTCAGCAAGGTATTCGAGATCCGGAAACAGTGTGTACTGAAGCTGGTCTAAGCAGTCAGAATCGGCAAACCGCCCCTTCGAGCCAGCCTTATGGGCGGCGATGGTTTCCTCTCGTAGCCATGTCACTGCACAGGCTTGCAGAGACGAAAACATGCAGTTTTCCAGCAAGTCTTCCAGAATGTTTAATCTATCCCCCTCGTCAGGGTCTTCATGAAGTATATGACCTGCAAAAACAGTAGCCGCATTCCGCACTCGCAAAGACGGATGGAATACAGATATGAGAGTTAGCAGATGATGATATGACATAAATGTTGCTTCCTTGTCGTCAGCCGCATTAGGTCCAACTATTCGCTTCTGGTCATGAAGCCAAAGTGCAATAACAACTAATGCCTCTACGGTGCCGGGGTTGCCCTCGATCTGAGTCTGTGGTTCATCACCGAGGAACCTCTTCAACAGGTTGTGATGCTCAGGAAAAATATTGGCATTGGGCTGTTCGTAATTGGCGTCAAAAATGTCTGATGCGAACATGCGATAAGCAGTCAGGCAAAGAAAGCCACCAGTCGATAGTTTAATAGCTTCGGGATTGTTGGGATCGGGTTCGATAGACAATGGATTCGTAGCGAATGGTGACCTCAAAATCTTCTTGACCTCGTCAGAGGGCAATTCCGCCAGGCCCAAGTCGCGGGCAACAGCCTGAATAAATTAGTACAGAATTTCACCGTGATATATTAACCACTTACAACTAATTGTCCAACCAAGGCGTCCCTGGTTTGAAGCTCGTCTACTTGCTTAAATGCCTGCAGCATGGTTGGCTTCCTCGGTAGAATCCTCTCAGGGTTCAGATATTCCAGATGCCTTGCTGCCCATTCCAAGTTGTTTGAGTTGACGTAGGCTTCGAGAATGCTTGTTATAAATGACTGCAAGAGTCGTGATACCAGCTCAGACTCGCCCTCGCCTGCTTGCCCTGCATGCGCTTCGGGATCGGGAGCACTCTTGGACATGTCACTCCCCTGAAACGCCGTTTCTAACCTGGCGCTAGACTGGCGTGTAGGCAGCGGTGGCCGTTTTCTCCCAGAAAGAGATCGAGCGAGATCAATGACCGCTGCCGTTGTCTCGGCACCTTGAGGGTTGTAAGCTCGGTAAACCGTTTGTAGTGTGGTATGAAGGTATCGTGATGGCGCCTTGACTTGCAGTCTTGGATGGAGGATGCCCAGCATACCAACCAGAGTAATGAACTTTGCGCTTGCTGAGGCATCACCAGCCTCGGATAATTCCGCATTGGAGTCGAGAACTTCGACAACCTTGAGGATAACTTCGCGAGGGTTTCCTAGGCGGGCAATGGTCTCGAGACAGCCCTCACTGCCGGGGATAGTGATTAGCATCTCCACAAGATCCCACCCAATTTCGCTCGTAAGCGCAGCATCTTCGAGGATTTCCTTGAGAGTTGGGAGAACTTCCGGGGAGAGGTTCGTTTCGACGACGGTGAGGTACGTAAATGTGTCTGTCGCAGGAGGACGAGCCTCCTTGAGTCTCTGGATGGCTTCTTCGGTAGACACCATGGCTTCAGATGTACAGTTTCTGTGCCGTCTTGATTCCCTTCCCGGCTCTGTGTATAACCCGTTATCCGTCTCTCGCAACTACCTGGATCAAAACGGTCCAGGATCTTCACGGTTTATCGGTAGCTGAAGAGGGGTCGATCGTTCGGCTCGTGACAGGTCTTAGCGTAGGTTTAGCGAGAAGAAGCGAATGTTAATCAAGCGCAAAAGAGAAAGCGATAAGAGGTAACGAAGGAGAATGTAGCTAAATCGAGGGTTATAAACCCCTGATCGGCAAATGCTTTTGTGGTCTCTGGTAGATGAGATGAACGAGCATGTAACAGCATGAAGAAAACGTGCCGATGAGGGATGACGAGGAGCTTTTAGTGGAGACCTTAGTTCTTAGCGTTGGACAGTTTCGTCATCACGCCTACACTATGAGCTTGTTTTCTACTTAAGTTAAAACTGAGAATGTAGGGAATGGTATTAGCAACTCTTTGCCAGACTCTACCTGGGGTATCTGCCAAATATTAGATATTGGACCTATTGGTTTTATTATAGCGACTAGAGTTACTGACCACAGGCGTCAAACACAAACCTCATAGCATGGATAGCATTATACATCTAACGAAAGCCCCAGGCTATTATTAGTGAAGCTGCCCATGTACTACAGGGGTCAACCTTCGATCGCCAAGCCAGCTCCCACAAGGTGTCTATTATCAGTAGAGTTTAGCTTCAATTTGAGTGTCAGCACCTTAACGACATTAGAGCAAAGAAATTATCGCCATGAAGATCTGCCGAAGAGGCATGGAATAATTGATAGAAACAGCGCATTTGGTGATACGAGTATAACAAACCCCAGACCTTTTGATTTTCTTTAAACGCCTTCCGAAACTTGCCGTGAAAGCCCTAATCCGCAACCCAACACCGTTCCCAGATGCAATTCGACATTGTTCGTCGTCTTAACGTAAGAATATATATACATAGGTAGCCATATGGATGATACAAGAGAAATTGTTCAAGCTCAACCTCTGCCGGATGAACTAGAGCCGTTGGTGGTTACACCCTCCACGTTGGCCTGTAATTCTTGTTCGAGTACTTTCCCAACCCCAACTTGTTGTTTTTGTTCGCATAAGGATTATGATTTTCTTTCATAGCCTCTGTTAGGATAAATGGTTCGTTTATAGGCCTAAGTTGCGGATATGCTCTGTATGGTAACACGCTTTGCAACTCTTTCTTGCTCAACGGCCTTTCCTTCTTTGGCATCGCTGCTAACCTTTCTTTCTGTAGCGCATAGACGATGTCTCTAATTTCTTGTTCTTCACTGACAATTTGGGCCTTGAGGAAAGGAAGCGTCTCCTGAGCTGATTCCTGGATGCCCTGCATAACAGGTACGCGCGTAGTGTACTCAATGTGATCGAGCTTGGGGGCGTATCTAGCATCTGGGACGATGGCAGGATCTAGCCTGGCAGCCTCGCCCTTGTCCAAAAGGGTATTGATGTTGATGCTCTCTCCTGGAGATATAGGGGTTTGATGACTTGGAGTGATACATTCCATGTCTACTTCCTTGCGTAAAACGTGGTCGATATCAACGGCAGAAAAATAAGCGCAAGACTGGGGAAGATCGTTAATGCCAACCTGCTGAGAGAACATAGCCCTTGTCCAGACGTTGGCAACCTGAAGGGCAAGTGCTGTGCGGTACTTATCCGTATCCTTGACCAAGTATCGAATTTCGTCATGAACTGTGAGAGCTACTCGAGCATCAATGTTGAAGCGACGAATTAGGTAATCCATGGCGACAACAAGTAAATGAAGGTAGTCGACACCAGAAGATTGAATAGCCCAATTAATTCGCGATGTCAGATAACCACCCTTGCTGATATATCGTCCCATAAGAGCTTCAGTAATTCCGGCGCCCAATACCGGGGTTCTAGCCTTGTCTTGCTCAGCAAACTCCTCCAGCTTGTTAAAGACGAACGACTCGGTACCACCTCTCCAGAAGAGACGCTTGTAAAGTACCTTGCGATTGGTCTTTGTACCCTTGGTATTCGCGTAGAGTCTCGATGCCGTCTCCGTGGTCTCCTTTTCGGAGAGGTTTGGATTGAATTGCCGTAATAAGGTCGCTGCGAATTTGAGACCGGCACCATAGATTCGTCCGTAATTGAAGACTTTGGCATTATTCCTGGTAATGCCCAGGATGGAAGCCGTTCGCGAATGAAGATCCGTACCAGCAGATTTTGTGCCCTCCAATGTCATGAATCCAACAGCATTTCCACCATGAAGCTTAAACGTTGCGTCGCCAATAAGGCTGGCAATCCAAAGCTCCTCTGAGTCGACGTCTGCTCCTACAAAGCAATAGCCCTTGGGCGCCTTGACCATTGCTTTTAGTTCAGAGCCAACACGATTCTTCTTGGCATTGCTGGCCGTAAGCCAGGTGTTCTCGACCGCTCTGCGAGTTATGGTACCCATTGGGATGATCTGTGGCAAAATAAAACCAGGGTTGTTCAACTTTCGCCTGCCACGAGTACGATTCAATACGCGAAGGTCTTTGTCATAGACAACCATTTGAGACTTGATGCGATCTCTCGCACTTATCCAGTAAGAGCACGACGCATTCATCTCCAGCGCTTCCTTCGCATATGTATACTCGGAGGACAGCATACCACTCTCGAAATAGGACAAGTACCCCTTGGCCATTGGATTGGCACAACGCGCTGTTGGGCCATCTTTGTGAGGGAGCTTAAAGTAGGAATGGGCATAATCGTCACGTAACTTGGTTTCTGTCTCATCGAACTTGCACTCAACCGCTTGTTTGGCTTTGTACTTGGCAGCTTCCGCTCGAGGTACGCGAAAAGTCCAACCGTATTTATCAGACCAGAACAGCGGATACCCGTCCCAGGACATCTTTAACAGCAAAGGAGCAACCCGTGTTCGAACAGTGATATTGATGGGCGAATCATTCGATTGAAAGAGGTCCTTATACCACCTAGGCATGCCAGGCTTCTTCTGCCTGGCTGCAGGTCTTGGTGGTTCGTCCCCCTTGCCTTTGGCCATCTTGATTTCTTGCCCTGACCAGTCAAGTTGTTGCATCCAAGGGTCATTCTCGTACTCATCGGGGTTGTCCTTCATACTTAATGCGCTTTCAGTAAGGCCTATAAGGCGTTCCTGAACCGCATCGGAGAGTTTGTGGTAGGTAGCTTCGGCATTTTTGATGTACGCGTCCCACGAGTTATCGACCGGGAGGATGACAGAGGAGAGGTGTCGAAGAGCTGCAAAGCTGACAGGATGTGGGCAGGTCGACAGGAAGTTAGGGAAAACGATCTGGTAGACACGGTGGGTAATCGAAACATCAGCAGCACAATATGTCAGGAGCTCATCCAACTTTTCTACTACCCCTTCGCGATCCAGCTCACCAAAGTCGTTTCGAATCGACTTGTCGATAGAAACATTGAGGTGAAATTGAGCGACATCCCTCAGAGAGTTGACAGAGCTTCGTTCGACCCAAAGATCTGCTTCGTCATGCATTCCTTGTGTACTCAGCATTGTCGCCAGATCGTGGTCAGGGGTCTCGGTCGCTACTCGTTCCCGCATCTCCCGGTTCTTTTTATGCTTCATCCAGGTAGGTCGTTGTTGGGAGCACATTCCATTTACAGCCACATGTAGCGACATGGTGTCAAGGAAGGCATTCCGGGTTTGTTTCAAGCTGTACTCTTCCAAAACCCGCGCTCGATCGAAACCCACATTATGCCCGACGATAATTCGATCTTTGGTAGGATCACCAAAAGGAATCAACTGCCTATCGTTTTCGGTCTCTCCCAGTAGCCAAGGCGATAACCATGCATACCAAGCTGTTGGGCTCGATGCGCAGGCCATGACAGCAAAAGGGCTTATCTTCCACATGACCTCTGTGTCGAACGACAGCATCTCTTCTTCGGGTGCTTCAACTTTCTCGGTCGTCCCATCAGGGTAATATTTCGTCCAGCCACTTTGGTGTACCCATTGCCGGGGCTTCGGAGGTGGATTGGCGCGTGCGAACTGCTTCGCGTATGTGAGGAAGGGCTCAGCGGCATCTATACCGAGCTTGTGAAAGTGCTCGTCAAGCGTGCGTCCTTGCAGTGGGGGAATATCGAAAGCTATAGGTTCGGATTTGTCGGTGTTCTTCCCAAGCAGATCGTGACGACGCAAATGATCCTTGGATAGCTCAACGAGCTCTTGGGGCGGAGGTGTTACACCATCAGGAAATATTTGGTTGAATACGTGGGAGCTGACCTGCTGGACGCCTATCTCGTTATGTCGGGCTTCGGAGGGTACTGCAGCAGAATTAATAGCTGTCAACTTGAGCGAAGGAGTGTTGCAGTGTTACAAGCAAGAGTTTTTAGTTTCTTCGATTTGGCGCTACCAGCGACGGCAGCGAGCCATCGTACATGAGTGCGCAAAGCATGACGGCGAAAACCCTGGTGTTGAGAGATACGAGAGAAACTGGCTGTCGAAGCGCGAAACGGAGAAACAGCAACTGGGACAAACATTATTAAGTTCGTCACAGTAGCATCCCGGCTCCTGGTGTTTATTACCGCCGACGGCCTTGACGATGCGCCGGTCGAATATTATGTCTGTTGAAGTCTTGGATTGACGAGAGAGCACCTTGACAAATGCAAGGTTAGGATGATGAATTTGGCATTTGCATCCATCCATCTTCGACTAAATTAGCAAATCCCTGCTAATTTAAGTGGATGACGCCGTGCATTCTCAGCGGGTCCCTGTCGTTCTGCTCAAGAGTGGAGACAATTGAAGGGTCTAAAATGGAGGGGCAATTGAATGATGTAGGGCTTTAAAACCTCCATGAAACGAATTCAACTATGGACAGAGTGTGAATCTGGATGTGAAGTATAACGCATCGATACTTCAAGTCTATGAACATGCGAATACAAAGAACTTGAATTGGCTGTACTGTGTTAACCTAATATGTTAACGTGCTTTCTAAAATTGTGTCTCGTCTTTTCACTCGTCCACATCATGTTCCCTACAAGTCTAGTAGTGAGTTGTCGAGCATTGAGGTCGAGTTTGGTATACAGTCAGGATCCCCGATAGTAGATACGGAGACCCAGAGGTTTCTCAGTATACAAGTTCATTGAGTTATCAATAACTCTATCGCTTGTGTGTATATACCTGCATAGGGAGTTGTCAAGACTGTCTACGCTATCCCGACAACTCATGGGCAATCAGAAGTATTAATACAAAGACCAAGTTCTTGTAATGAATTGACAGCAGAACCAAGGCAGTAGGCCTCTAGTTCATCGTAACACTAGATTTGACAAAACAAATACAATGGTTGAACTTGATATCTTGAAGAATCGAGTCGAGGTAACGTGGGGAGAGTTTCAAGCGCCGTGTATGGATGCACAAGAAGTCAAGTCTAGGATCCCATAAGTCCTCGGGAGGAATCTGATTGGACTATTGCAATGGCGCAAAGAGGGCAAATGAAACGAGGAAGGGATGAGATGAAGGCTTGGAAAGTGTTGCTTTGCAGGTAAAGATGTTTCTTCCTTACAAGAAATGACTTTTTGTTGGCATGTACTGTCGCGGCATAGCGGAGATTCATCTCAACTTGCTTGTGGCCAGACAGTGTCAGTCAGTCAGTCATGACATGGATGACAATGTATGGCTGGTTGGTCATTCCCCCTCCCTCCCATCCAGACTGGGCTTTTTACTGAACCTAAAAGTTGTTGGCTTCCCTTCCCATGCTTCCTTTCTTGACCATTACAACACCAGGTAGCTATTTTCAGCTCAGTCCAGCCGCCGGGCAGGAGAATGCTTTTTCTACCAGTACCTTACAGAGAACTCACATCTCCCTTGTCAACAAACGCAAGCAAGTATTTTGGCCTTTGTGTCTCTTTGTCTTTGCTTTATCATCCGGCCCATTGATACCCACACCCTGGCCTCATCCGATCCGGCCCATTCCAGCACAGTTCAACAGCGGCCCGCCTACCTAGCAAGTCAAGTCCAAATCATTTGCATAGTAGGTAAGTTAGTAGTCAAAAAAAGAGTCAGTTAACTAATGGGTTCTAAGCGCTTAACTAGGCCGTAGTAAATGCTCCACGGCTTGCACCTTTCTTCTCCCCGTGACGCCCTTCAATTCGGCCCTACAATGGAGCAAGGATTCTTGTATATGGATTTAACCTTCTCTCATCTGTTGCAAGGTTAGAAATCATTTCTATTCCTTCTATCTTCCTTCCTTTTTGTCTGATCTGCTTACCTCACCCGCCTACTTGCTTCTTTTGGCCTCTCCTGCCCTTCGGTCGAATCTTAACTCCAATGTCCTTGCGCGTTTCTTTTTTTGTTGATAGCAGCTCCTGACGCTCATTTGTATACGATTGAAATAGACAACGACCCAGACCTGGACTTGTTTTGGAACCCAGCAGACGCATTTTACGCTCCTCCCATTGCAATCTCCATGTCCACCAGGATTATTTCATCTCCGGATCTAGCTGGAACTGAAGCCGGATCTTCACGTTCGCGTTCGCAAAGGCCAATCCACTTGGAGATTGATGGAGTTATCGACGAACAAGAGGGTGCCGGCAGAAGTGGTAGTGGCACCGGTGGCCAATACAACCAAATTCGCCCGACTACATCATCGTCCTCGCTTCCTTTGCCACCCTTGATCTCCAACACTCGTCGCGCTCGTAGGAGCTCAAGCCCGACTACAACAACACAACAGCCGAGGCCCTCTCATTCCCCTCCTCGTCTACCTCCCTTAGACATCCAAACGCCGCCTTGGAGAAGGGCAACCAACTTGCCATCAGCAAACGTTGAGCTGCCACCAGTTAATACTTGGGAGAACGAGCATTCGGGGCAATACAATCCAAACAGCGACCTGCATAATATATTGCGTACTGCCAATATCGGGTCTCCTGATCTCATCGATTTGATTGATGGTGACTTCTCTTCACCGTCGACTTACCCGTTATTCACGAATATAGATCCACAGCCGAGTCAAGCTCAAACTCCAGGTGTAAGCCAAACGGCAGCGCTTCAGGCTTCCATTTCCGCGCCGCATCGTGCAGTTACCAGTGCCACTACCGCCCCACGCGACCCCTCCGCCGCTCACCATTGTATCTCTAATTTCTTGGGTCCTGAGCGTAGCACGACTCAACTCTCTTCTTCCACTAACGCAGCCGGCGAATCCCAATCGACTCTGCCTATCTTTGACTCTTTCGACGAAAGCGACATTCTCTTCGACAGCCCCGCCAGCTCCTTCTCCGACGCCATGCCTCCTGCTCTTCGACGGAGCACCGCAGCTACTGTTAGCCGGACCGGTTCTACACACACGAGCAAACGACGACGGACATCCACTGCGGCCGCGAATGAGAACACGATACCTACGAGACCATCATCAAGACAGAAGAAGAGCTCGGCACCAAAAAAAGAAATGGATGTTGAAGAACTTTTCGGCTCGAGCCCTCCTCCACGCGCTTTTGTCGATCTTGAGGCCAATGAAGATTACGATACCGTCGATTTGACTGAAACGAACGAAGTCCCTGATGAAATCAAGAAGCCAGAGAAGGACAACAGCGTCAAACTGGCCGCCTTTCAATGTGTAATTTGCATGGATGACTGCATTAATTTGACAGTAACACATTGTGGTAAGTCATTTAGGGGTCGTTTTTATTTACCTCTTGCGCCCCACGGGAATTTTCTGACACGTTCACTTCTAGGCCATCTTTATTGCGCTTCATGTTTGCATCAGTCTCTTTGCGTTGATGCTACTAAAGGGAAGTGCCCCATGTGCCGGCAAAAGCTTGACATGAAGCCAAGGGAGAATTACAACAGCAAGACCAAAGGATATTGGCCTCTTGAACTGAAGCTCATGACTGCTACGCGCAAAGGAAAGCGCAAAGCCAACATTTTATCCTAACACGCCTGACAGCAGCATCGAATGACGTGGGAGATCTGGTTCCACTTTCACGGATTCCAATCATGGTTTTATGATTCACGGTTTAACAACCTACTCTGATTCATCTATCTGACCGCCTACACCAGGCTCAATATATTGGCACACGAAACTCACTATGAGTAACAGTGCTTTTCTCTTCTCTTTTTCATTAGCATAACCGGAGGCGGATCATTTCGGGGCGTCAGACGAGATACCCAGCATTTGCATGGATAAGGAGAACACCGGATACATTGGTTTAACATGCGAACGCGGCTTTGCGTCGTTCAGGAAATGGCGCTTTGGGAGTATACAGGGCAGGGGATACTTATCATGCCGCGACCGTGGAGAGCACATATGTATTGACAAAAGCATAAGTGTTACCAATTGTTACTCAGGCAGAAAGGCACAAGGCGTATAGACTTTAGATAAATTTATGATTCGCTTTCTTTTGGATTGAATGTCACAGACCACCGAGACTACCCCCACAACTGCAACACGAAGCAAAAGAACAAGAGCGAAGGACGAGCTGTATGCCGAGCAACGAGATTTTGTTGTCGAAACACTCAAGAAAACGACCTGGTTGTCTCCCTAGGTCATGTTATGTGTTGAGTCAATACTGTAGGTTATAGGAGATGATGAAGAGTATGTCGGTCTTTCAAAGCCTTTTGCCCTTCTATAAACAAGTTGATACGTGGGATAACGTTCTTTTTATCGTCTACCAAGGTGATTGATTATTTATTTCACTTGCACTAACTAAACCACATACTCAATATTATCCATTGCTTCCTGTCAACGCCGTGTAGCTCTGCAGCGTTATATCCCATCTCGATATACTACAAGTAAGTGCCCCCTCTTCTTGTTGTAATTGGCCTAGTGGAAAAGCCCGTGGCTCTGTTGCGTAGGCTCGGGGACGCCCTCGTTCTCAAACTGTGATTCGTCGTTAGTTAATTATGTTAGGGATGTGTAATGGGGGTTTGTTTACCTCGAGGAATCGTGTCGCTGCGATAATAACCATTAAACCTTCAGCCAACTCTTCTATCTTCTGGTCCAAGCCTTCATCCACGTTCCCACTTCCGATGCCAGCGCTGCGCTTGAGTGTATGTGTGACAAGCATGCGATGATCGGTGAGGAACCGGCGGCCTTGAACAACATTGTGGCTGCCACGGGAAACAAGTGCGGCGCCCACGATGCGCACAACTTGGGCAAGGAGATCATAATGTTGCTCGAGAGCGCGCGGGTTTGTGTTGTTAATTTGCAGCTCAGGGTCCGCTTCAAAGAGGCCAGAGATCTCAAGGGCACGGAAAAGATTGGAGTGTAGGATATACTTGGCCCCAGAACGAGTTTGGGCAAGTTCAAGGAGAAGAGCTAGACGTGCGTTCTGATAATTCTGCTGCTCAGAAGTACCTGAATTAGGGAGTTAGCCATGTCTTTGATGATAGCAGCCAATGTGACAAACCTGACGTGAAGACTTCCTGCCACTCTTGCATGATATTTCGCAGCGAATCGACCATGATTCCGATAAAGTTAAGTCGATTTAGAGTCTCAACAACATAATCTTCACTCTCTTGGTGACCCATGCTAATCAAGGCGTTAAGAAGGATGAGTGCTGATGTCTGACACTGCGCCTCGCCGCCGTACGCATCATCGCAGATAACATTGAGCAAACGCTCACCATATACTTGGATAGTCTTGATGGTCTTGGGTCGGTTGGACGTGAGTGGCCCTTGGTCAGCCATGCCAGTCAAGTAGCGGTAGCAGATGCTATAGTAGATGGATCTCAGCTCTGGCGTTCCAGCCCACTTGCCGATGGCTTGTAGGCAGATCTGGAAGAGCTGGAAGAGCTTGTCACTAATTAGATTGCCAATGGCTGAGCCTTGCTTGTCATCTGTAGACGTGGAAAGATCGAGCTTGAAGAGCAGAATCTTGGATAATTTTGCGAGCTCAAAAGCCTCATCCGGTCGCTCGGAAGCAAATGCTTCCAAACTAGGCAGAATCGATTGCAAAGCCTGCAGGAAGAAGGAGATCTGTGCCGAGCCCTTGAAGTCGTTTGACTCGACCATGACCAAAAGCAGCTTAGTCCATGTCTTTAGAACCTTGAGACTTTGTGTTGTCAGTTGCTTCTGTCGATTAGAGGAAATGAGGTACTCTATTATCATGCTCTCTTCCCGTTCGAAAGCAACAAGATCTTGGGCTGCAACCAGTACGCCCGCATCGTGGGCCTCGCCACGCTTGAGTAGAAGAACTTCCTTGACGCGTTCGAGGTTGTAAATTTGGTTACCGTCAGTATCATTCTCCAAACAAGATGTCAGGTCAAGATCTTTGTAGTATTGCAGGGGAGGTAATGGGATTTCCCAGACACCTTCCGGAAGCAAGAAGTCGTAAAGATCAAAGACTGTTGGAATTGGGATAGGAGTATTTCCTTCCCCAATAATCTGACCATTCAAAGCTTCAAATATGCGACGCTTGACACTCGGCATGCGATTTTGGGCTATGCTGCAAAGTTCCATCGCGACGTATTCCAGACTCATGCTTCGAAGCGACAAGAAGTCAATCAAAGCCACAGCTCCATCTGTGACAGGAAACTGGACCAGAGCAACGTTCTCGCCCTCCCAAGGCAAGTCAGGATTGATGACTGTCTCACGAAGCAAAAGGTGGAAGAGGATCTCATTTTCGCGAAGCTCCTCAACCACCACAGGGGCGGATAAAGGAGAGCTCCAAAGGATATGCAAGATGCGCATTACGCGTGACTTGATGGCGATCAGCCATTGTCGCATTCCCTGGGCATCACCAGAGGGGGCTTCAAGTAGCAATCTCAGTATTGTGTGGAAAAGAGAGGTCCTTGAAGCGAAAGCACCCTTGGCTTCGACAGAAAGAGAGTCAATGCCACACTTGAAACCAAGCAGCAGATGGGCAATCGTAGGCTTGCGGGGTGTTTCTTGCAGACATTGGTATAGGAAGTCGAGAATGTAGATTTTGGTCATGTAAGCTGGGGAGTCTGCCTCACGCCCAGTTTCCAGAGAGGTTATCAACTCCGAGACAAAGGACCGTGAGATTGTCTCGTGTTCACCATTCGCCTCTAGAGCAACAATAGCCTTGTTGCGGTGCATTTGCCGACTGGATCCTGACCAGACAGCGGTAATCTTCGAGGATGATGACATCTTTTCAAGCAGCTTTAGGCACGCAAGCGTCAACTCTGGGTGTCCGATACCACAGTAGTTACCCAAATCAACAACGAGGTTCAGTCGTGTAACCAAACCATCCTCAAATGAAGCAAATGCAGCATTTGCCACAGGTGGTCGGCGCTGATTTGACTGAACCTTGATGATAGGCCGAACAAGCTCAAGATATGTGGCTTGGAGATCAAGGACCTTGCTGATAGCCTCGACAGCGCGCAGGATGCCAAGAATTAGAGGAGAGTCTGGCGAAGCATTTCCCACATCTGCGGGCTCTTGATGAATAGTGTTGAAAAGAGCTGCCATAACTTTGTCGTTGAACATCCATTCCATCACTCTCGCAAAAGGATGCATTCGTACATAGGTCGCCAAGTCGGTAGTTGCGATGACGCTATCGACGTTGATATTTGTTTCATTCGCCATGATGATGAGATCTTCGTTAAAGGTGTTTAGGCAGACCAGAATAAACTCCAGGCAACTAAGACGCAAGACACGAGTTTGGTTGACATCCTGAAGGTCGTTGGCCTTTTGGGCGAATACCAAGCCCACTACAAAGTCGACGTAAATCTCAATACCGGGCATTCGAGAGGAAGAGCCAAGATTTTCTGGAAATGGCAGTCCGTCGTTAAGGGGACTACTGTCCACGGCTGGGGATATAAGAGAAAGCAGGAGCTGGATAAAAGATTCGGGGTCTTCAAATCCATTGCTAATCTCGTCGAAGATACGCTCCATGAAGACACTAGGTGATTGTTGCGATTGGCGATGAGAAGTAACTGGGTGGAGGAAATACTCTCCAGTGACCCATTGATCGAGGCAATTCCACATAAGAGCACCCTCCTGCAGTGATTTGCGTGCCATCAGAGCTCGAAGAGCTATAAAAGTACAACCGCGTAACCGGGGTGGAATGTTGCTGCTAGCAAGCTCAAACAATGTTTCGACGAGGCTATAGTTAGGGTTTTGAAGAAGAAACTGGCGTGTCGTCTCACTTTCACTAGCCAGCTTTGACATCAGACGAAGGTAACATTCAAGCATCATGGCCGACTCCGGTTCGGTCTCTGCTTGATCACTGCTCATTTTCTCGTTACGATAACGTATAGCCTGAGGTGGCGCCGGTTTTTGCCTGATTTTGGCGGAAAAAAAGTCCAACTCCTTGAAAATTTGAGCCCATGTTAATGACTGTGATTTTCTCATCTTTCCAGATGAATGGTGGCCCTCGTCGATTAGGAACTCATGTGCAGCAGAAGCGCACTCTTCATTCTCCGAGATAGCCTGGAGCATCTCGCAGAATGCTGTCACCAGAGGCGTCGACGCCCTGCGAGAGGCCCAATGCATAAACCCAGCCAGGTTACTGTCGGGGTCAGACCAGAAATTCATGGCAGCATCGGGTCGACCTTCGTAAGCATATGCAATTATCAACAAGAACCTTTCGAGGTCTAGATCCTGCTCATGTGTCTGACTAGACTGGCGTTGTTCGTCCTCCTCCACGCGAAGTTTGCGCAACACATCGGGAAGGTTGGAGATGAAGCCGTCAACAAACACTTCAAGCTGTAGCATAAGACTCATCTGGAAGAAGTCGGCGAAAGGAATTGCATCAGGTGCGAGTGCAGGCGACTTTCGCTGCAGCCACTTGCGCATACCGGCTCTTACAGGGTCGTGCCAATCCGGAGACTTAACATCAGCCGCAATTGAGAGCAGGAAGTCGAAAGATCCGTCCTTCAGAGACTCCAGGAATGCTTTTGATCGTTGTCGGTCCTCCTCATCCAGGTCGGTATTGGGGGGAATCGCTGCCTCAGGGGGGTCATCGACGTAGAAGCCACTGTACTCTGCAAGCCACCAAGCTCTGAAAGCAGCCTGCAACTGTGACAAAGGCCATGGAGAGCTGTCCGTAGGGAAGAGCTTGCCGTGCAGCTCGCGGGCCTTGATGAGATCGTATCCACCTTCAGCAGACCCGAAAACTGAAATGTATGCTCCGATAGATGGAACAAGGTGAACCAGCAAGGCATCATACCTGTCTACCTTTTGGAGAAGAGATACAAAGTCGAGAAAGTCTTGTGTCGATCCTTGTCTCATTTCAATACTCCGGCAAAGTATAACACCCAGCAATTCGTGCTGTTGCATCAAACTGACCCTGGAGAACTCAATGGTCTCCATCTGCTCGGAGACGCCGTTAGTTGTAGTCTGACCTAGGGTCTGGGCCGCAGCGATCTTGTCCCCTATCTTCTGAAGCCACGCTTTGATCTCCCTCATAGAAGTCATACACCTGGGCACGATTCTTTTTGTAGTGTCGGCGCCCATACTGGGCTGGAGCAAGCGTTCAGCAACATATAGTTTAACGCTTTCAAGAGCTTCCGCATCGGCAATATCGTCGTCGAGACCTTCTATTTCGAGGAGAAGTCGCACAATGTCGAGAACGTACTTTCGCTGCTGGTGAAATCGGATGATGGCGCACTCGAGGAGCGATCGGCCCAGCGTATTAGGGTCTTCTTGCGATTCTAGTAAACATCGTGTAGATTCAAGCTCGTCAAGCTCTACTTCGTCGGAAAAGGTAAGGACGTCTTGTTGGAAGTTATCGTTTATCGAATACTCGTCACCGTCAATGACAACTTTGCCTAGGCTTGGTGTTAGATGGAATGGAGGATGGTTGTTGCGCCAGTAGATCCCTTACCAGATTTGACAGCGTTTCTATTGTCGCTCTTCCTCGCCGGCTTATCCCAGAACTTCCCCAACTCAGTCTCGAAAACTTGGACTAAGAACTCATTTCCTAGCGTCTCTGCGCCCTCGACGCGACCTTCGCGTAATGATAGTAGCCCTTGGTGGAAAGCTTGTAGGGCATCTAAAGCGGTGATCTCGGCCATTTTTGCGGTTCAAGACTGTCGCATGTTGATCCTAGACGCAATAGCTATCAGGTGATGCAAGCTGAGAAGATTGCACCGTGGTGCGTGACGAATCGTAAATACTGAATCTTTTTGTCGACTGTTGTTAGCGGTCGTGGTTTTGAGATTCTTCACTCCAGCCTTGTTGACTTCCCCAGTTAGAGAGCTCACCAAGCTATTTGATTGGTTTGCTGCATGCTTGTTTTAGGCGGTGAGTGGCTTTCTGCCGTTACCTACCAGCTGAGGTAGCTTGGTAGGTGTGGCAGGCTAAGTCAACCGCTATAGGTAATAATCAACTACCAGGCAGTGGGTAGCAGAAAGGTTCACCTCCTAAGTCCCGAGGTACCAAAATAAATAGCCTAAGAACCATAGTCTAAGCGGCGTAAGCTGGTCTACTAATTTTGTGTTTTGTGTTTTTGGCGGCTAACTTTTCTGGTACCCGGATGATCAGATAACGGGTTGGTAGTACCTATTTACCACAGTATTGCAGTAAGGCAACCTAGAGCTGCCTGCCTGTATAAGCATCATCATGGTATCACTGCTACTATTATGAATGTTACAAGAGAAATTTGTATGATAAGTAGCATTCATTTACTACCATGTTGGAGTCAACCTTTAATCCGCCTGTTGTACCATGAGCACGCTTGGGACCAGACCGGGCGGGTTGTTCGTACCTTCTGTAGCTAGTCTAAGCTCGGGCAGCTCGTGGATGATTTCAGTCTTCAAAACCCAATAAAGACGAACAATCTCCCCAGTAAACCCATTAATACAACAATGAAGTAAACAATGAAATCGTCAGTAAGGCTAAAAGGCCGTACAGTTGAACAAGATTTCATCAAAAACTATCCAGCTCATTCCGTCCTAAGCCTTAGGGTACAAAAATAAACAGCCTAAGAAGTCTGATCTAAGTGGCATAAGCTGACCCACTAATTCCGTCTCTTGTGCTTTCGGCGGCCTGGTGTAAGGTAATTTCAGGGCAGGTACGTATCTCACCTCCCTAGGTCACGATTTCTAAGTACAGGCATCCTACCTATGAGCCTCTACAGTCTCACTCGTTGAGCAACCACTTCATTTTCTTAAACCTCTACACGGGAAGACGACGTATTTCTGAGCTCCAATGAAGGGGAAAATACCAAGTCGGTCACACTTGTAGTCGCCCCCAATGGCCTCTCATAATGTTATGAATCTGGCGCGTTCGTATATACCAACCAAAGCCTCGTTACAAAACTGACAGAATGCAGGTGATGTAAAATCCGCCGCAGTCAGGGATCGCGAGAAGGCTGTGGATGGTATGCATGATGGCTTCATCTCTATTTTCCTCGAATTTTGTTAGTGTTGAGCTGACGATCATAATAATAGAGTTGTCGCATCTTCTTAACCCGCGAAACCGATCTACAAATCTGTAAGCACAGAAATGCCCCCTTTCAGCACCTTCTAACAGTTAAGTTCCGATCTTGGCGACAAGAGTTACCATGAGATATTTGAAGCAATCTTCAGTTTCGTGCTTCGAGAGAAGCCCGTACTTTATGACAAGAAAAAGTCCCAATCGTCATTGAATTCTACAACAAGTCGTTTATCAAAATGCGCCGAGGCTGTACGCATGGCTGTAGGACGCGGCAAATCAACGATCGGACGAAAGACACTACTGGCGATCGTGGATCACATCACTCAAGTTCTCCCTGGACCTAACAGCGATGATTTCGTGCCTCCTTTACTCCAGGACTACATCAAAGCCTTGACCGAGGTGCTTTCAAGGCCTGCGCACGTGGAAATACTAGCCAGGAAAGGTGGCCAGTACTGGGAAATTTGTGTTGGCTTCTTTCTCGACGTTGCCCAGTATCTTCTTCCCGATGAAGCAGATATCTCAACTTTGTCATTGGCTCGGGCATCGCCAGCTCTGGCTCGATCATCACCAGCACCGGGGTCAGGATACAGTCGATCTATTGGGCGATCCACACCTTCAACTCAAAGCCAAAGAAGAGCTACACCTGGAGAGGGTGGTCTTCTCAAAGATGTCTTGGAAGGACTGCACTATCTTGTCATAGGCGGCAACGCGCCGATACTCCGGCTATACAAAGATATTACGCCAGTAGTACTCAGGGTCTTGAGTCTGAAGCAGTTGAGTCTCGGCTCTTTACAGACTTTGGCGTTCGCCATTATTAATGCAGTCTTCACTACTACAAATGCTGATGACTTGGCGCATGCCAACTCTGTTGTGCAAAGCATATTGCCGCTCATGAGCTACTGGTGGAGATCTGAGAAGGTCTCTCAAGACGAAGTCATCAGAGCGCTCAGGATCGAGATCTCTAGGAGCATTTTCTTGATGCACCTTCACATTGAAAATTTATTCGTGAAATCCTCGGACGAAAACGTTGGCTTGGACCTCGAGGATCTGGCTGAGAATATCTGGTCTGAATACTCAAGGCGTGGTGAGGCTGTCCGTTTACAAATGAGCGACATCACTTTTGCTTTGTCCTCTTTGCCGACATACGGGCTGCAGCTGAATATGTTCGGCCTCCACGCTCACAACGTTTATGGAGAAGGACATTGGGCTATCATTCAAAACCTGGCGTTTCTGGAAGGCATCATGGCGTTGCCTCACTCTAGAACCCCGACAGACGATGTGGAACAACGTGAGCAGCCAAGGAAAAGGCGGAGAATCCATATGAGTCGCATCCGGCTTAAGCTCAAGGCTGCCGAAGTAGCAGTTCGGGGAACTGCTTTACAGATGATTCCGTTCCTCTTGGCTGACAACTCGCTGAGTCGTGACGAACTCGTTGACTTACTACCTGAATTAGTATCGTTGGCAGCTGACAAGAACCCTGTCACGGCTTCTTGGGCCCTCGTAGCCTCTGCGAGGTAAGAAGACTACGCCAAAACAGTCATGTCAGTATGTATCACTGACATTCCTTAGTTGTATAAGTAAATCGAAAGTCTGCCACGATCAAGTAGATGTCTGGCGCCAATTGTGGCATCTTGCTACACGTTCCGTCAGCCTGCCAGGAACAAGTCGAGCGGCCAGCGTGCTCCTACATGCGATACTTGAAGCCGACGTTCTACCTTATCACACAATCTCCGCAGACATCAATAACATTGTCACGACTGCAGATGTCAACGGGCCTAGTGTTCTGTGTGACACTTCTATTAGCCTGATGCTTCATGTCCTTCAATTACGAAACGCCCGAATCCCCAGCGCAAGTCAAAGTACCTGTCACCACATCATCCGATGGGTGTTTTTTCGTTGGAATCCAAGTGAGTATGGGTTATCTTACGGAGGTTCTCATGTTAACGAGTTTACAGACGAATCTACGTTTGCATCCTACCACTCTATGCATGCTCAACCGGTTCAGCTAGTGAATTTGATTCTGGCCTGTTGTGGGATGGCGCCTCTGGAATTAAACTCCCATCCAGCGGCTCCTGGAGGCCCATTGACTGAGACATGGAGCTCATTTAAGCAAACTGAGGCGTTTACTCGATACGTTCTCCTTGCAAAAGATGAATCTCGTGATGCTGATCCCACTGGCTGCTGCTACCTCTCAGGGCTATCTGATCCCGCTTCGTTGGCCGATGCCAATGCGCGCTATGCTTCTCAGAAGCTAACACTCGAGCTGTTCTACCCCAAGCTGAGTGATCTATCCGAGCTCTGCACATCATGGACTAAGAAGACGAATGAAGGCGGTACACAAATAACGTTTGATCGCTTTCAAAGTCTTTTATCAGCCTGCTTGACCGGAACTCTGCTACTTCCCATACTTAACGATCTAAACTCGACTCAATCTTCGTCAGTTGAATCCACTCTGAAGGAGATTCTCGACAAAGCGCTGAACTCTGCTTTTACGTCAATGGAGTCTACAGCCTTTGTTGATTCAATCCTACGAGTCGTTCGAGCTGTGATGCCCGACTTGACAACGTCGAGTCTAAATCGAATGCACGCAAACAACCCAAACCTGTTTCAGTTGTTCGGTAGAATATGGAAGTCTATTGGCCAGCAAAACGATCAGACAAATCCCGACAGCAGCATCGACTTAATGGATATTGATGGGGATTTCGACTCCCAAAGCAGTCGGGCAAGCTCAGTGCATGCGCCAGTAGCAACCCCACGCTTCAATATTCAAATGAAGCTGGACATGCAGGCTTTCTACACTGAGGCAAGGGCCCGACTTCGGTTTCTTTCCATATTGGATGATGATACCGGACAGATTGGCCTTGTCCCCAATACCTACGTAGAGCATTTTATCGAGATGCCCGACGAAGACCTCTTGATGTGCCAAAGCTTGCTGCTTGAATTATTTGGCTCTGATCTTGTTATTACGCCAGAAAACGCTCTGTCAATTGTTGAAAGGCTTGGACGCTACGTGTCTAAGACTGAATATCAATGTGCCGAAGTTGCTTTGAGCATCTGTATCGGGGTAATCGATGGATTGCATCCTATCTGGCTGAACGACAAATGCCATCTCTCCGAAAGAGTTGGCGACCTTTACTATCACTTTATCAAGGTCTGTTTGACTTCGAACATATTTTCACCCGGTGCCCAAATGTCAATGGTCCAGCTACTGTTCACTTTATTACGAACCAACACGGAATATGGCAAAGACCAGGGCCTTGATTCCCCACGAACTTGTCTTCTCTACATACTGAAAAATGGACCAATGACGGTGAAATACACCATCTCGCAAAAGATTGCCGACATCTTTGGCTTGTTTGTCCTCAAACTTCATGACGAAGTGTTTGTGGATGTTCTAGATAGCTTGCCTACTGATCCCTTGGACACTACTGGCATTGCCTTTCGTCTACTGGTATTGTCGAACCTTGCCTGCAGATGGTCGACTTTGCTTCGGAGGTGTACTTATCATATCTTCGAAACACCAGGGAAGATTCCGGGTTCAATGGATTATGCGACTCGGTGTTTGGTAAACGTGTCGAGAACGCTGAACCTGCGGTCGCCAAAGGCTTTGTTCCGGCTGTTCTCTCGGCAACTTCTATACACTTGGCTTGAATGTGACCTCATAGAAGATATTCCATTTTCTATATTTGGCTTCAAGACGCTTGGAGACCTTCTCAAATCTGCACAGTCCGAAGCCATCGGGCTGACTGTGATGCGTGGTCAGGATCAGACATTTGCAGAGGTTTGCCGTCTCCTGGGGAGTTCTGAAAGCGACCTTGTCCGTGAGAATTTTACTACTGCAGTTGCTTATAGCATGATCTTTGGTGACTCGAATGGAGGCAATGACAAGGAGCGTGGCGAGGCACATGTCAAAAAGTTGCTTGGACGCACGGCTTATATGGAGTTAATTCACATCAATTTCATTGACATCGCGGCACTGTTCTTCGACCTCATCGATCAAGAGAACTCTTTTGAAAAGGTCTTCACCAGGTTCAAACTCGACTACGCTGGTCAGATCCTGAGCGCTGTGAAGACCATTTCTCACTCTCCCGCCGAGTTACCAGCTAACCAACAGCCAATGTTCAAAGCCAAGTACCTGATCCACGAACTTCACAGACTCTGTCAAAATACAGAGTTCCAATTCCATGATTTGTGGACGCCTCCTGTGGTTGTTTCAATAGCTCGCAAGCTTCTCAATACTGTTCATCCGGCTTTAGGGCCTCTGCATGCCTGTTCTGTTCTTCGAAAAGTACGGGTTCTGATTTCTCTTGGTGGCTCAGTTGCCTTAGAATCCTACCCCCTGGAAATGCTCCTGAATTCTACCCGCACATTCATCACCGACTCCGAATGTGCAGACGATGCGCTGGGAATTAGCCAGTATCTTCTGGCTGAAGGGGCCCGACACCTTAGCAATGTCCCATCATTTCTTGCCGGGTATGCCTTGTCAACCTTGGCATCACTCCGAGTCTTCTTGGAGTCGAGCCAGTCGAGCACAACTCAGGAAAGTCAGTTCAAAGCGACAATGAGTAAAGCAGAAAAGTTTCATGCATGGATCAGCAAATATCTTGAAGAGTATGAATCGCCCATGTTTAAGAATCTTGAGCAAAGGAGTGCTTTCAAATCTATCACTCAATCCGCCGCTCGCATTCGATCTTCTGGGAACGCTGAACGAGGCACTGCAGAGAGCAAACTGCTTCTGGATATTCTAGCCGATGAAGGCGCAGATCATCAGCTACTGAACGAACCTTCGCGACAACTCGCACTCGGCCTTCTTTGCGGCGATTTCAGCATCCCTGAGAAGGTAAAGGATGACATTGTTGAGTCTGATGAGGATGCTCTGAAGTACTCGACAGCTGTGTGGAAGAGTTGTGATACCGGAAACCTCAGCGAGGAATATCTCTCATGGGCAGGCCGGGTCGTTGGCCGGGCCTTCTCGGCGTCCGGGGAGATCCCAACTGGCGTGCTACGTGAATCCTATCTTAGCCAATACCAGAAAATGGCACCAGGATCGAATGGCTCAGAGACTGGAATACTTTATCTTCTACAGGACCTCACCTCAAATCCTGATTCTATCACTGCAGGTCTGGCTGAAGCTGCCCTGAGATCCATCGTCTCGGATGCCAACAATCTAGACGATGAGTCACTGGGTGTGGCCTGCCAAAAAAGTCTGACGGAGTCTCTCTTGGTCACATCTCAATGGGGCGCACATAGATCGCCTCCATCAGATAAGGGTCTTATAACACCTACATCATCCCCGAATCAACCGGATGTCTGGTCTACAGATATTACGTCGAAGGACTGGCTTCTGAACCTAAGTGCGCATCTCGCTCGGTGTATTCCAGAGTCGATCATTCTCTCAGTTCTTGCTCCTATTCTCGCTAGGGTTGAGCACTTTGCAGAGAGAGCTTTCCCCTTTGTTGTTCATCTCGCACTTTACTTCCCAATGAATCAACAACATTCCCCCAAGCGCCCACTATCTGTGGCAGTCAAAAGCTGGCTCCAATGCACAGATGCAGCAGCCAAGGAAAACCAGAAGCTACTTATCAATATGCTATTATACCTGAGGACGCAGCAATATCCGAAGGAGTCATCGATAGCTGACAGATCGCATTGGCTAGAAGTTGACTCCGCTTTGGTCGCTTCAGTAGCGTCGCGCTGTGGCATGTACAAGACGTCTCTGCTATTTGTAGAATACGTCCCTCCAGAAACTACACGTTCTTCACGAACGTCTTCTGCAGCAGTAAAAGAGGTCGACATGAGCGAAACTCTTCTTGCGATCTTTGAGAACATTGATGACCCAGATGCATACTACGGACTGCCAGAAGAGCCTAGTCTGTCAAAGATTCTTGCTCGCGTGGAGTACGAGAACGATGGCCCTATGAGTCTTGCATTCCGAGGTGCTGAGTATGACAGTAATGTTCACCTTGGAAATCCTGTGGCTCAGTCGGATGGACAAGCTTTAGTCAGAGCTTTTAGTACGCTTGGCTTGTCGGGTCCTTCAAACTGGTTCCTCCAAACACAAAACAACATGGAAACATCTCCGGCTGTCCTTGAAGATACTTTCAACACAGCCAGAAAGCTTGGGATTTGGAACCTGCCTGCACCTCCGAGTGACCACCATGCGGTCACGCTGTTTAAAGCGTACCAGAGCATTAGTCAAGCGACAGATATCGCCAATGTCAGGGCTGCTGTACATGATGGTTTTAGCCGCACAATGCGTAGCTTGGCAGTCCACAGCCTCAACGCCACGGCCCTGAGGAAACGTTTGGGGGCTCTAGCTTCGTTGACGGAGCTTGACGATGTTCTCGGTGTTTGCGATAGTTCCGAAATGGATACCCTTCTTGAAAAGTTCAAGAATCGAAGTGACTGGATGAGGAGCGGATTGTAAGTATTAGCGATTTGAGATGCAGCATGTCACTGACTATTTCTAGATACGAGAGTGTCGGTCAGATCTTGTCTTGTCGTAGCACCACGATGAGTATGGTCAGCCAACAAGATAGCTTACGAATAAATATTGAACTTTCCGCAGCTACGGCAAGGCAGATGGAGGTCGAGTCAATGATCACCGCTTCTCAGATATATCGCTATCACCAAGCGACGCAGGAGAGCCTCAAGATCTCCACTATACTCACCAAGCTCATACCATCGTGTACAGCACTAGACCTACATGTGGATGCAGCTGTCACCGTTGAGGCTGCTAACTCTGCCTGGGACTATGGGCAGATGAGTACGTCCATTCGTATGCTGCAGGATATCGACAAAGATTCTGTGCTTGAGAGGCAAACTCTCCCAGTCAGTCGATCTGATTTGCTTTCCAAGATTGGTTACCAGGTATCCGTTGCACGCCTCGAAAAACCACATGATATCCAAAAGAATTATCTAGAGCCTGCGCTGAAAGAGCTCAAAGGCAAGGGTCAAGGTCGCCAAGCTGGCTCTGTATTCCATCAGTTTGCCATGTTCTGCGATCAACAGTTGCAAGATCCCGATGGATTGGAGGACTTAGCAAGGCTCCAGAACCTAAAGAAAGCAAAGAGTGATGAAGTATCGGAACTGAAAACCCTTATTAGTGGCACCAGGGACACTCAACTTAAGACCAGGTACTCACATGTTCTGAACAAAGAGAAGCAATGGCTCAATCTTGATGAGCAGGAGTTGCGACGAGTTGAACAGACGCGCAGTGAGTTTGTTCGCCTGAGTCTCGAGAACTATCTTTTATCTCTCATTGCATCCGATGAACACAATAACGATGCTCTCCGATTCACAGCTCTTTGGCTAGAACGATCGGAAGAGGAAAGCACAAACCAGGCAGTCATGCGACATCTATCGGAAGTCCCAACCAGAAAATTCGCTGGCCTCACCAACCAACTGACATCACGACTCCAAGACCACAACAACTCATTCCAGAAACTGCTGTTGGAGCTAGTCTACAACATCTGCGTGGACCATCCCTACCATGGCATGTATCAAATATGGTCTGGAACAAAGGCAAAGGCACAACAAAAAGATGATGTCGCTGTCTTACGCGTCAGGGCAACAGAACGTGTTGCCAAACGCTTAGCTGAGACGCAATCCGTGGCCAACATTTGGCTGTCGATCGACAAGACAAGCAAATATTACCATGCTCTCGCCATGGATCGAAACCCAAACAAGTACAAGTCAGGTGCAAAGATCCCGCTGAGAGATTCCACACCCGGCCACAATCTCGTCAACTGTCTAGCCAAATATCGTATCCCTTCTCCAACTATGCAAATCGAACTCTCGGCAACAAAAGACTACTCCAAGGTGCCTATCATATCCAAGCTAGAACCCACCATGACCATCGCTTCGGGTGTCAGCGCACCTAAAATCATCACAGCTATTGGAAGTGATGGAGTCCGCTACAAGCAACTTGTAAAAGGAGGGCATGACGATTTACGACAGGACGCCATCATGGAACAGGTCTTTTCGGCCGTGTCATCTCTTCTCAAGCTTCACAGGACAACGCAGCAACGCAACCTCAGTATCAGAACCTACAAGGTGCTTCCACTCACAGCATCTTCCGGATTGATTGAATTTGTGCCCAATACAATTCCACTTCACGAGTTCTTGATGCCTGCTCATGAAAGATACTATCCAAAAGACCTAAAGGGCTCTCATTGTCGTAAGGAGATATTTGGGGTCCAGGGTAGAGCGGTGGCGACACGAATCAGTACCTACCGCAGAGTCACTGAGAAGTTCCATCCAGTCATGAGATACTTCTTTATGGAGAATTTCACGGACCCGGATGAATGGTTCCTCAAGAGGCTGGCATACACAAGAAGCACCGCAGCCATATCGATGTTGGGACACGTCCTCGGCCTGGGCGATCGGCATGGGCACAATATCCTTTTGGACCACAAAACTGGAGAGGTGGTTCACATTGATCTGGGTGTCGCGTTTGAAGCAGGCCGCATTCTACCAGTGCCTGAAATGGTTCCGTTCCGGTTGACGAGGGACATTGTGGATGGAATGGGAATTACAAAAACAGAGGGAGTCTTTCGCCGATGCTGCGAGTTCACTTTGGACGCTCTCAGAGAAGAGCAGTATTCCATCATGACAATTTTGGATGTATTACGTTTCGATCCGTTATACACATGGTCGATCTCGCCACTCAGATTGGCCAAGCTTCAAAAGGCAAGACACAACGATGATAGTCTCATGGACGACGAACAAAGTGAAGCCGAGACGAAAAAGGACAAGAAGGCTACAGGGCATGTCAATGAGCCTTCTGAAGCTGACCGTGCTTTGGAGATTGTGAGGAAGAAGCTTTCTAAGACATTGAGTGTAACTGCAACAGTCAATGATCTGATAAATCAAGCGACCGATGAACGCAACTTGGCAGTTTTATATTCTGGTAAGTCAATATCCCTACGAAGCTCTGACTCAAACTAACATTTCGATGCAGGATGGGCAGCATACGCATGATGAGGAGGGGGCAACTAAGAAGCTTTATAGACTAATTAGAGCTTCATAGCGGTATACAAAAGCGGGTTATTCATCTAATTATTCAATGAACATTGCTTTGTTGTTTTTATCGCCTGTTGGGTAATAGAAAAGTTAACCTCCAAAGTCTTAGGGTGAAAACATAAGTGATCTAAAAACTATAGTAAGAAGCATAAATCGACCTATTACTTTCGTCCCTTATGCCTCAAACGGCCAACTTTTTTGCTCTGAGGCGTGGATATCATGAATTGCTCTGATGTTTTTGTCGCCTATAAACCGATGACGCCTCTGAGGTCGGAGATAGGTTACACTAGCTCCAGATTCCGTTATCTTATCTTTCAAGTGCGCCAACTGACATACCCATAGGTACTAAGGCATCTCGTTTGTCGTTGCCATCTTCATCCTCATGAGAAACGTCTTCATACATCTTCAATAAAACATTCTAATGATCTTTGGCCCGAGTGAAATACGGCGATAGCACCTGTGTCGCACACTTCTCCATCTTAAACTCAATTCTACGAACGCGCACTGAATTGTCCGAGAAGCCGAGGCCATAGCAGCTCTTTCAGCGGTTGTTCGTCTCAGGCTTCGTACTTTTAAGATCGTATTGCTTGGATTCGCTCTATGCAACCTTTGGCGTCGGAGTCGACTTCTCCCTCCCGGCGCAGGCCGCGCTTAGACTCGTCATCCTCAGTATCTTCGCCCTTTGCCACAACCTCTAAGCGAGCGCGCTTCGACATGACTACCGCCAAAGCGCGGGGCAAGCTGCCCGAGACCGAGACTATCGACTTGACGCAGCAGCCCTCTGCCTTCAAACCCTATACTGGTGCCAAGAAATTGGTGATCAAAAACCTGCGACCACCGACAAATCGAGACAATCAGGTAGCAGAATACTACAAACGAACAGAGAAGGAGCTTGGCGGTGCTTTGGAGGCAATCTTTACAGGGAGGACACCAGATGTTCCTCTCGAGAGGCTTTACAGAGGTGTTGAGGATGTTTGTCGCAAGGGAGATCCGGCCAAGGTATATCAGATGCTCAATGAAAGAGTCGATGTGCATCTGCAACGTATTGTCCTGCCAAGGATCCAGAAAAATGGACGAACTTCAAACCTCGACACTCTCAAGAGTACACTGGAAGAATGGAAGACCTGGAATAAGCAAACGGTACGTCTCGTGTGCCTGTGCAACTTCAAGACACTAATCAATTGCTTCTCAGTTATTGATCCGTTCCACGTTTAGCTTTCTTGACCGTACATATCTGTTACGAGAAAACTATCCATCAATAAACGACATGGCTATTGGTCAATTCCGAAAAACGGCATTTTCCTCCCAGGCGCACTCATACAGGAGCTCTATAGGTGCAAACCTTATCGCGGGTATATGCGAATTGATCGAAAATGACCGAAGGGGTGGCGGCCAAACTGAGCCGACGTTGCTCAAAGATTCTATCATGATGCTATACGTTCTCGGTGTTTATGTCAAACACTTTGAACCATTTTTCTTGGAGCAATCGCGAAAGTATTTCAAGGAATTTGGCGAAGGCTGGAGCACCTCCAGCCTCAAAGATTATATCCTGGTTTGCGAGAAGCTTTTAAAGAAGGAAGACTACCGATGCATTCAGTTCAACCTCGACAGCACCACGGAGAAGCAACTTATGGATTCTGCTCATTCGCTCCTGATTAGCAACTATTCCGAGAAGCTGTTGAATGGTGGCAACCTAGGAAAGCTGCTGGCCGATAGAGAAGTCGAGTCAATGAAGGCTTTGTATGACTTGCTTCGACTATCGGGGATTCAGAAGAAAATGAAAGTTCCATGGGGTGAGTACATCAGAACAGCGGGAGCGGCTATAGTCAGCGACAAAGAAAAGGGTGATGAAATGGTTCTGCGCTTGTTGGAGTTGCGACGCTCGCTTGATCTCATGATTCGAGACGCTTTCAATAAGGATGAGGACTTTCTCTGGGCCATGAGAGAATCATTCGGCAAGTTCATGAACGATAGAAAGGTTGCGTCTTGTTGGGAAACAGGAACATCAAAGATTGGCGAGATGATCGCCAAGTACATCGATATGCTTTTGAGAGGTGGTCTGAAATCACTACCCAAAGAGCTCCTGTCCGACTTGAAGGATCGCGAAACGGCACAGAAAGAAGGCCAGGCCAGCACTGGTGATGAGGACGCCGAGCTTGACAGACAACTTGACCAAGCACTCGAGCTTTTCCGATTTATCGAAGGCAAAGATGCATTCGAAGCCTTCTACAAGAAAGATCTGGCCCGCAGATTGCTCATGGGTCGAAGTGCAAGCCAGGACGCCGAGCGGAACATGCTCACCAAGCTCAGAGGAGAGTGCGGTGCCAACTTTACGCAGAACTTGGAGCAAATGTTCAAAGATCAAGAGTTGGGCAAGGACGAAATGGAGTCTTATAAGCAATGGTGCCAAGGCAGTGCTGAGCGAAAGGCTCCTCTGGATCTGTCTGTCATGATTCTTTCGGCTGCTGCCTGGCCAACATATCCCGACGTTCGTCTCAATCTACCTGACGAGGTCGCTACACAGATTGAGAGGTTTGATAAGTATTACAAGAATAAGCATACAGGCCGTGTGTTGACATGGAAGCACTCATTAGCTCATTGCTCCATCAATGCGCGTTTCTCCAAGGCTCCCAAGGAACTCCTTGTGTCCGCGTATCAGGCTGTTGTTCTTATGATGTTCAACAACGTACCTGATGGCGGCTTCCTCGCCTACGAGCAGATCGCTACAGGAACCGGTCTCCAGGGCGGTGATCTTAATCGCACTCTTCAGTCGCTTGCATGTGGCAAAGCAAGAGTGCTGACCAAGCACCCGAAAGGTCGTGATGTCAAGCCAACTGACACTTTTACATTCAACAAAGCTTTTATAGATCCCAAGTACCGAGTCAAGATTAACCAGATCCAGCTCAAAGAGACCAAGGAGGAGAACAAGGCAACACACGAAAGGATCGTGCAGGACCGACGATTCGAAACTCAAGCTGCAATTGTGCGAATAATGAAAAGCCGAAAGAGCATGGGCCATTCAGAGTTAGTGGCAGAAGTGATCAACTTGACCAAAAAGAGAGGCAGCATTGACACGTCAGCGATCAAAAAGGAAATCGAAAGGTATGTGATACAGTGTACGGATGTCTTTGTTCAACGACTAACGCTACATCCAGTCTTATTGAGAAGGATTACATCGAGCGAGAGGGCAATGCATATGTGTACCTGGCTTAAGACTTTTGTGGTTATGACTAATGGTATAGAGTAATAGCTCAATGAGAGAAAGAGCAAGGATACTGGAGCCATATCTGCTCATAAAACCTACATGAATAAACTTGGTTGTTAAGTGATGGAAAGAATACATCTTGAAGCAAGCGATAAAGATGACAAACATGGGAATCGAACATCTAACAAAAAGGAAGCGAAGCAAGGGGGGGGGGGCCATAGGGGATAAAGTAAGTAAGTGTAATGTTGAGCAGTTGAGCTACTTCGCTGAAGGATTAAATGATTGATTCAATATACAAATAGGGGGTACTGGCTCGAAAGAAGACTGTTGATTGGTGACGATGGTGGTTGTGATGATGAATGGTGCGTGGATGCCTGGACGGCTGGAACTACAATTGCTGCCTTGTGTCTTTCAACAACTATACCAACAACAAATTCCTTTATTGTTCCTATTCCTGTTTTTAAACTAAACAGTCTGGTGAATCTATCAGGTTCTACGGGACGGGTTACTGGCATTTAGTTGCCTGTTCTTCAAGCCGTTATGTGGATATACCTCTCGTTTGCGTGTAAAAGATGGTGGGAACTGCGATATCTAGATTACATGACTAACTAGGTGTTCAACTAGGGCCTACAAGTGAATACTGTAGTTTGAAGACTTCCGTACGCAGAAGAATACTTCTTATCAAACCTAGTTGATATCGCTTTAGTTTGCTTGTGTCTAGGGTAGCTGCCAGCGCAGTTGAAGAGAGCTGCCAACTGTCTCAATATCATTCCAATATCGGTGAGGACAATATTCCTAATTTTGTTTTTAAAGATGAATGATTTAACTATAACCGAAAATTGCGCCGTGGAAGCTGGTTGGCGATTCAAGCTGCTTGACATGGAATGGTCAAATACATAGTGAACAGACTTATACGCCGTACTAGACGGACGAGATTGAAATACGAGCAAGACTGGACCATAGCAAAAACGCAACAAACTTGAGAGATGAGAAAGAAGAACATGACAACGCACTCAGATGGATGGCTCATTTGGTCTCGACCAGAACGATCTCCTCAAAACAACAAGGCAACAGCAAGGCAAACGGCTGAAGGGTGTGCCATACAGTTCACAGTCGGATTTAGTAAACATGTACCTAGAAGTCTAGAACTAGGAATTCTTAAAATTCAAGGATGCCAGAAAGTCTGAATTGATAGAATGGGAAACCATGTTGCAATGATAGAGGCATGGACTTGAGTTCGCTTGTCTAAGACTAGAATATCAAACCGGACTGCCACAAACATTGCGCATATAGATTAGAAGAAAAAAGATCTACAATCGACTTACAGAAAGTATCTCAGCCGCCCTGTTAAATTAGAAAAAGGCAAAGGAGGGCAAAACGCCCGGAAAAAAAGGAACCCCTCACAAGGCAACCCCGAGGCAGAAGTTTCGGTCGCCCGATCATAGTTAGACTCGATCAAGTCGAGGGTGTGTCAAAGTGCAGTGTACTGAGGCTGCCTTGAATTTACCCTCCCATACATATTCATGGTGTAACCTCAGTTCTGACAACGGCTAGTTGCCTGATCACAATCGTTATTCTGTACCGCCCATCGGGCTCATACTCGAGGATGCTTGACAGGTCACACGGCCACGAGGTGGTTAAATGTTGGACCGAAGAGACGAGTATAGTAAAGTGTGTTGTTGTGCGCTGTAAAAGAACCTGGTATTCATACTCGAGCTTCTAGTCGAACATCCAGTTATATGAAACAAAGTGAAACTCAACGGCACTTGACCTTTTTTTCACTTTCGCCTCGTTTTATTGTATTAGTCTCGACGTATGAGAAGCCTTGTAAGCCATCCACCAGCATGAACCTACGCCGCAAAACCACGTATAGCACAGGTCACTCCACCTACATTCTATATGCATCGCATATTTCTATGCTCGACATCGTCTGCACTTTGCATCTTCTATTGTACCTTGGCGTGTTTGGGCAACAGAACAGTTGGCACTAGTATCATCGTGCATAAAACACAAGCGAACAAGGAAGGGCTGTAGAGCGACGCTGCAACTTGCCACCGTGTGCATTTTGTATTGAACGATCCTACAATCGTCACTAGATATTACGTGGTGAGGAACTCCTTCACTGAAAATGCATTTCATGCGGGATCAGTCCTGATATCAGGATATGTACCAATTGGAGTAGAGGTGAGATATGCATACTCTACAACTGATGTGCTAGGACTGTTTCTTTTCCTAGACATGCACATCATCCAGCTTACGACAATTGCTTGCATACCCGACTTTCCCGTAAAGCTATAAACTATCTACTGCACCAACCAAGAAGCTCCTGGTTATTCTCAGTTACAAGCTTCTTGACACAAAGATTCCTCGATATGTCCAACCTTGACCCTGTCCTTCAGTCAGCCTTTGTCCGCCCTTCGCCCTGGTACTGTACTTGTAAGACCACTGCCATAAACTGATTCCACGCTGCATTCCTAGATTGTGGCCAGCATGTTGTGCTATGTTCTTTTCACAAAGTAGTAGTACAGCGCAGCCCCGGGCATATCCCATCAACGAACGTTAACGCCCAACATGTTCGTGGATATCTCGAGTCAGAGCTTTGGTGTATCTGAGGCAATTATCTGATTTAACAATCCTCCCGAAGAAATCGATGCAGGGTCCTCTCACGCCTTGATAATTGTTACGCAACGTAAAGATCTCCGGATCATCGTCCGTTGGCCGCGAATAGCTCACTCACCGAACGCGGAGTAACACTCCTCGTAGACTTTGAGTTGCACCATAGGAGTGTCGGGAGATCAGCACATCTTGGAAACGGCGATCGCCTTGCTTGCATTTTTCGACGCGCGCAGGCAGAACAGGCTGTCGGTGCCGAGTCACAGATCGGCTTGAGTCAGCCTCTCGGCAACGTGCCTCATCGTTCGGTGGCCATATCGAGACAAGATGCGGCAGCACGGAATGATTCTCGTTCGAGAAGGCTTGATTTGAGTCGTGGATTTTGCCGACATGTCAATGTAAGCCAGCAGTCTGGCCGCATCAACCAAGCGTTGTTTGACGTTGGACAGTATCTAAACAAAGAAAAGAAAGGCAACTCAATCATATACCGAACACACTAGACTGTCTCGGCTGGTTTTTATGGTCTAGCTTGACCATAGCCATGATGCCATCTCGAATGTAGCTGGACTGCAGTAAGTGGCTGTTCGTAATGGAGGTATGCAGGCGAACCACTTCAATCCGTTAAGATGCGGCCACGATAGGGTTCGCGACTTGGACTGGCTATACTTGATATTTTATTCCGTTGTACAAGACTGAATTTTGTAATCAGGCGAATTGATCATTGCCGCGTCACTTCAGAGTCCTCAAGCTGATACGTATTTCCGTACAATGTCTCTTAGAGTTCAAATAGACCTCGAGTCGCCCACTTGGTCTCATTGACAGACATAGACACCATCCACCATTCAACTCTCCAAGACAACTCCATAAGTCCGCATATCAACAAGTGCAATAAGCTTGCTCAAAGAAAAGCTCGGCACACTTGTCTCAGTACGGCTGTGCCCCCTCTTTACCTTCAAGCTTGCATTCACCCTCCCTCTTTCTATTAGGACGCACCCTTTAGCATTTCGGCAGCCTCACTTTTCTATAGCACAAGTGGTAGAGATAGGAGTCTTCGACTGCCCTAGAGTTGTGCCCATACAAGCTCTCCGTTACCGTTCGTATATATCAGAGCCCCATCTTCCCCTTCTCGGTGATTTCAATCCCTCATTGGAATTTGCAAATCACCAACTCAAAGCCAATCACAATATGGCCAGTCTTCATCCCTCCAGGGCCATGCCTTGTGATATCACACCACAACTGCATCAGCAGCTTCAAGTCTCACAGTCTGGACGTTCTATGCCTCAGAGCAATGGCATCTCTGCAAGACCCCCGGCATATATGCCTGTCAACACACAGCCCTATCACCATCCCCCACTCCCCCCCGCGGACCTGCATGGCTCCCCAGATATTCAAATTTCCCAAAGTAGAATTCCTCAAAGATACAGGGCTCTCCGCCTTGAAAAGGCATCCAGTGGTTCCTCCTGGGAGAAGACCACCGTCTCTGAAAAGCCCATGTCTCAATCTATGATTCGAGATAGAATTGATTGGCTTCAGAAGAACACAATTTCCGTTACGAAAAAGAAGCAGGAAAAGAATGAAGCCATTCAGAGCCAAATCGACAAGGTTCAAGCTGACCTGACCAGAGAAGACCATGATGTTCGGTTCTACTATAAACTGGCTCAGCTTGAATCTGAATGGCGGGCGGCAGATGATCGCCGACGAGGAGATGACAGAAGTGAGCAGAGCTCCAGAAGGCATAGAAGCCATTCGAAGAGAAACAAGATTCCCAAGTTGGAGAGAGTAGCAGTCGTTGCGTACTTCGTGAGCACGCCTGCTGCTGATCGACATGGCTCCAGACCTCATGGTACGAATATGCTCCCAAAACAGCCGAAGCAAGCCCAGTATTCGCAAGCTCCCCAGAAAAATGCGGAAGGTTTGCCTCCTGTTACTCTCGTCTCGACTTTCCCTCGTTCTGTTCCTTCAAATGCCCACGGACTGGCCCCCCCAATGACCGATTCAAGGCCAAAACATCAGCCCAAACCTATCATCACTCAACAGGCTACTGTGCCCCAAGCCCTTAAAGTCCCTCAAGCCCAGCCACCTTATCAAGATGCCTTGAACATGCCAAAGCAGGGTGGCATGGCGTCAGCAAGTCATAATGTGGTGATGCTTCAGACTGTGAAACCCGCAGGACCAGCACCAGCGCAGGTTTCTGTTGGACAACCGCCGAAGCTGCCTCCGATTCAACTCCCGCTTCGCCCACCTCAGGTTCCAAGACCTCTATCAGTACCAAAAGCTCCGCCGGCAATGCCACCAGCAGGCCCAGGTGCACTAAAAGGAGTCAGCGATGCAGGCAGACAGCCATCTGCACCAAAGATAGCAATAGTAGAGTCGAAGCCAAATGTCAGAGATAACATCAAGATTTATCATGTCTCAGACCAGAGCTCCTCGTCATCCGACAACGGTTGGTCGGAAGATGAGAGTGAAGGCACAACACCGTCATCTATCAGTTCAGACCACAGCTTGCGGCAGCGAGGTCGAGGACGAAGTCCCAAACGCACACATGCAGACCATCACAGAAATGTGATCATCCAAGATTCCCGTCAATATGATGAACGTGATAAACCCACACAACGACAACGTGTGAGATTCAATTCCCCAGACTACCTTTACCGAGGAGAAAGTCGCGCGCCAAGGGAAAAACACCACTCCCGATCACGGGCAGATGAGCCATGGAGAGCAAAGCCACCACGTATCATCCAGGTACCAAGACACAGCGTCCGTCATGTGCCTGGTCTTGCAACTCGACGTGACACTTCCAATAACAGATACAGCATTGGCGAGAGACCACCAGAGCATGCAAGATTGAACGACTCTCATCATGAACATGACATCCGAAGAGACAATGACCGTTTCAAGCATCTCCAAGAAGATGCTTGGCGGCGACAGGATTTTAGGGAGAGGCGGGATGATGGAAGAGAAGACGGCGATGAGTATGAGGGATCAGATTCTCGTTGGACTGAGCAGCAAGCTCGAGACTACATGCATCAAAGGGAACCACGTCGTTCATATCGGTATCATGGATGATGTTGAACCAAGAGAGGATACAAAGAATGATGCGATTGAGAGTAAGGGACTTTATTTCATTTTGGCTCGAATTGTTTTTTTTCGTCGCCTTTCTTGAACAGGCTGGAATTTCTTTACACTTTTCAGGGCGGTGCAGTTCTAAGGTCATTACGGGATATTAAATGAATGAATTTAATATAGCACTCATCAAAGAAACAATTGTCAACGAATGTAACGACATTGACTTTATTGCTGTGTCCAAATGGTTGAATTGTACTGATATGGGCCCCATGGTAGAGATAGTAGACGGTCCAAAAAGTAATTAAAAACACGTGACCAAGTGTCGTCGTTAGTGGGAAGGGTCGCGCTTCGAGCGCGTCAGTGCGGGCGCACTATTGAGTGAAACTTCATGTGTGGTAGTACTTGACTTGTTCTCACTCCTAGACGCGTTCAACCAGTAGTCTACCTGGGTACCTATCCGTACCTGCCTCTAAACATGCCAGGGTCGTGGGGTAGTCACTGATGGTTTTGTCTTCGTCTAATTGAGCCTCGAGTCAATTTGTTCACAACTTCCATACCTTTTTCTAATTTCTCAAATCCTCTTTCCTTACCTATCGAGTCTAAATTTCTATTCCTTCCCATCGCCACACAACGGCAGTTTATGACGGCTGGTATCAACAGCCTCGCCATTCGTTCCTCGCCGACACGGGCAATTCTTCTTCGACGAGCTTTGCAACAACAGCTGCCACTGAAACTTCAGTTGCAGCAGCGGGTTCAGGTGCATTCAGGCGGTCCGATTTGTCCACCAAATTTCGAGACAATGTTGCAACGGGCAAGCAGCAAGTACGAGGCCAACGCTCCTCCCCCCCAAAAGAGCCAGGCGAAAGGCGGGCCTTTCCTTCCTTCCAGTAGCCCAACACACAATGCCGATATTAGACAACGACTAAAGAAGCCAAACGCCCCTGCTGTGTCGGCGAGGATGATGCCGCCCTTCTCCAAACCCCTCGAGAACCGATCATCCAACATGAACCAAGCCTCGAGTAACAACAAACCCCCAGCCGGCTTAGATAGGGGATCTCTGGCTACACTCTGTGGAGGGTCGAATTCATTCAGTGAACAAACGGATGTTGTCGACCTTACCGGCCCCGAATCTCAATCCAAAGCACAAGTTGCAGTCTTCTTTAACGAAAGTGATTTTAGTGACGACGACCTTTTGGATCTCGATTTCAAAGCTCCGTCGGCCCTACCACCTCTTCCCCCAGCTGTTAGCACTCCCACGAAAAGCATTCCCAACGAGAGAATGCCACCGCCGACATCGACGCAGACGGACAGGACTATTCCTTGGTCCTCGTCACCCCCTTCACACTTCCTGCCACCTGCACGAAACACATCCGCGGCTCCGACAATGGCCAATATATCAATGAAACGTGATTCATCAGGCGACCAAAACGACATTGATGTCCCGGCACACAAGAAGGCCAAGAAGCGTGTACTGCCTCAAAGCTTCAAACAGGAGGAGCCTGATGACGATGATGACAACCATGCTTCTGTCACTCAGACACCAAACAACAAGCGGAAAGATTTCCTGAATCCTACTGCCAGCGCCGTCAAGGAACAGAAGAAGCAATTCAGAAACCAGCGCCAACAAGAGCAGCCCGCAGCCAACACGGACTTGCCTATGGGCGAGATTCAAGAAGTCACTACATCTCACGCCAAAGGTAACTTTGCTGTGTCTCTGAGTGAAGAGCAAAGACATGTCTTGGATCTGGTTGTAAACAAGAACCAGAGTGTTTTCTTTACTGGTGCAGCCGGAACCGGCAAGTCTGTCTTGATGCGAGCCATCATCAAGGAGTTGAAGAAGAAGTATGCAAAAGATCCTGAACGTGTTGCGGTTACAGCTTCCACTGGACTTGCCGCATGTAATATCGGAGGCATCACTCTGCACAGCTTCTCGGGCATTGGCCTTGGCAAAGAGGACGCTCCAACGTTGATCAAGAAGATTCGACGAAATCCAAAGGCCAAAAACCGTTGGCTGAGAACCAAATGCCTCGTCCTTGATGAAATTTCTATGGTTGACGGCGACCTGTTTGACAAGCTGTCACAAATTGGAAGAACAATTCGCAACAACGGGAGGCCGTGGGGCGGCATCCAGCTCATTATCACTGGCGACTTCTTCCAGCTTCCACCCGTACCGGACCATGGAGCCAAGAGGGAAACCAAGTTCGCTTTTGATGCCTCTACTTGGACCACTTCGATAGACCATACTATTGGACTTACCCAGGTGTTTCGTCAAAGAGATCCCGTATTTGCCAACATGCTCAATGAGATGCGTCTCGGCCGTATCACTGAGGACACTGTTCGGGCCTTCAAAAGCCTGGAACGACCACTCCAATTCAACGACGGCCTGGGGACGGCCGAGTTGTTCTCGACCCGAAATGAGGTTGAAGGTTCAAATGAAAAACGCCTACGAGAGCTTCCTGGCAAAATCATGCGGTATGAGGCTCAAGATACTGGCAAAGAAGAAGTTCGAGATAAACTGCTGGTAAACATGATGGCGCCCAAGGTTATTGACCTAAAGGTGAACGCTCAAGTTATGTTGATCAAGAACCTTGATGAATCACTGGTCAACGGATCCCTGGGTAAAGTCATTGGCTTTTCGGATGAGAAGACGTTTGACATGTCCGCGCCCGATGATGAGTTTGACGAGAATGACCCAACAGCCAAAGCCCGAAAGAAGTTACTCAAGTCGTTCAAACATGAATCAGAGCCAAGTGCGGGCGGTCTCAAATTCCCCGTGGTTCAGTTCATGGCAGGAGACGGCACATCGCGTGTGATCCTCTGCCAACCCGAAGAATGGAAAGTCGAATTGCCTAACGGCGAGGTTCAAGCCAAACGCACCCAGCTCCCTCTGATCCTGGCTTGGGCACTTTCCATTCACAAAGCCCAAGGTCAAACCCTGGAGCGAGTAAAGGTCAATTTGGGACGCGTATTCGAGAAAGGCCAGGCCTACGTTGCTCTCAGTCGAGCTACTACTCAGGATGGTCTGCAGGTTTTGGGTTTCCAAAAGTCCAAGGTCATGGCTCATCCTCGGGTCATAGACTTCTATAACAAACTCTACAGTGCAGAGGAAGCGCTTGGAAAGCCGAAAGCCCAATCTATCAGCGACTTTGTTTCCAATCGCATTGGGTCTGCACCTTCCAAGGCCCCGGCGCCCAAGAAACCAGCACGACAGGTGGTGGATCTAGACGATGAAGAGGAGGCGATGGCTGCATATGGGAACTGAACTGTTCATCACTGAGTTTTCTTCACATGTTGATTGTTTACTGCATACGTATACAGCTGTATGATACAGGGGGCGCAGCTTATGATAGAGATAAAGGCCGGGAATGCACGAGGGTCGACTTGGTTGGGATGAACCAGGCAAGAATCAGTAGATATGGGGTTGTTCCCTATTTATATTTAGACATTGCGAATTATGACAATACCAAATGATGAACAACTACTTTATTCTAAAATTTACTGGCCGAACTATTGTCTTTTCTTTGCTATCTTATTATCGACAGCTTTGGGCACAACTCTTTTCGGATATCATGACAGAACTATGGCAAGTGTTTCTCCCATACATTCGTGTTTAATTACTACCACGGTCTGCAAGCTCCAGCATTAGCCCTCAAATGTCTAATTCAGCCATTGCACTTTACGCTTTTAGCTCAAGGGTGGTTAGAAAGTGACGCAGACCGAGCGAACAGACCATCATATTCTTATCGATAAGAAAGTTGGCAACTTCGTTCCCACGCGAACTTCTCAACCTTGCCCCATGTACAGATGGAAGTTCTCCCACCAAGACAAAACACCCCATCACACAAGATCGCAATCCCGAAATCAGACCGAAAACCTCGCCGCAACCCTCCCCTCGCATACGGCTCAGACATTGCAGAGTCTGAGCTTCACGGCTGCATTGTTAGAGTATTGCACGACTCCGTTGTGAAGAAGCCTTAGTGTCGACCTCCCCTCGTTTTGCCCCATCCCGCCGCTTCGAAACTCCATCCGTCATCAGTTGTCAGGCCGATACCTCAACCACCCGTTCGCCTTATCTTGACTGCGACACACAAGACATAATTTCATATCCGCTTTAGAAGCAATACACATCCGCAGACGCGACGCTGCGCAGTTGAGGCCCTTTTTTCGATCCCAATCAAGACTTTCATGATATTGAGGGAGTGACGATCTTCTCCATACAAACTTTCGCGCCGACGATTAAAACTTTCGAACGGCCATTCAAATTCTACGGACAAGCCCTCAACATGGCAAATCAATTTATAGGCCTGCATATGCGAGTGGTTATGAGAGATCCTCCGGGGAACGTGTTCACAGGAACAGTCGTGGACGTGCAGGCAGGCAGTGGTTTGACCTTGACTAACGGTACGTCGAAACTACGCCGCAGAGGAACACCACTAATATTCCGAGTTGCAGTATTCCTGGCAAACACCAAGCAATGGTTCCCAACTATACAAATCCCCGCATCTAATATTGCTGATCTATCCGAGATCAAGAACAAAGCACCAGCAGCGTATTCGCCCGCCCCTGTCGAACCTATCGTCACTGCACCTACTTTGACACAACCGCCTGCGCAGCCTGCCTTTGTAGACCCGGCCATTCTCAGCTTGGGACGACCGCCAGCGCCAGCGACGACTTTGGGATCCGATACAAGGGCTCTGGCACAGGAGAGCGAAAGAACAGAATTGCCGGGCATTCCCGTGAATGCTGCAGCTTCTACACCTGGGCGACCTACTCCCGACCACGATTTGTCAGGCTCTATTAAGAATTTGTCTATTGGTGAAACATTGGTGGAAACTGGCAATGGTGACCTACCTGAGGGCCATGCAACCCGATCCGCTAAGAAAAAGAATACCAATCGTCGCTCACGCCAGACTAAACAAGGGAAGAGTCAGCGTGTGGAAGAAGACGGTCTGGCTGCGGAAGGCTCGCCTGCTAGCGGGCGAGGCAAGGGGTGGAGGCAGACACCCATCTTACAGAGCACATCTTCCTTTCAGCCATTTCAATTCTTGAAAAAGAGTGCCAAGGGGCGTAAGGGTACACTCGAAAATGGTTGGGCATCTGAGGATGTCACAGAGGAGATGGGTGATTTCGACTTTGAAAACAATCTGGCGAAATTCGACAAAGCCACCATTTTTGACCAAATGAGAAGGGAGGATCAGGTCGATGACGCGAGCCGCTTAGTAGCTCACAACCGCAAGCCAAAGCCTGGTACGGCTGGCGGCAAGAATTTGCATTACACAGAAAATGTGCTGGATCTGCCCCCGACCACTAAGAAGGACGCCTATTCGTGGAATAGTGAGGCAGATGATGGGCTGAATGGGGCAGAGAGGCTCTCGGGAAGGGACGTCCGAAGCAGCCAAAGTAATCGGAGAGCTGACAGCAAATCGGGCCCTTCACGGAGATCACAATCACGCAAAGCAAGCGCTGTTGCGACATCTGGCGGTCTTCCGTTGACCCGCGTCAACTCTGGCGTACGTGCAAGCCATTTGTCTCGCTTGTCTATTTCTCGACCAGAGTCCCGCAGTACTAACAGCAGGCAGCAAGGTCACCCGCCCGGCCTATACCTGGTCCCTTCGCATAAGCGTCTTGAAACCGTTTCTGCCTTGCAGATGCTAAACCTCGAAAACATTGCTGCAAATGAGGTTGGACTGACAGAGCAGCTAATGGCTGAGAATGGAGGACGAGGCATCGCCGAGGTGACATTTAGGGCCTTGACAGATCCTGCTATCAAGGTGCGGTTCGGACTTGCTGGTGCTAATCCGTCCTCCAGCGCTACATTAAGCAGCCCAGTAGTGGTGATCCTAGCAGGGAACAACAAATCAGGCATGCGAGCAATTGCTGCCGCGCGTCATCTCCGAAACAAGAATGTCAACATGCTTGTGTGTCTGGTGGGTATTGAACGAGAAAAGGACCTGCTCGAGGACCTACGACAACAGATTCAACTATATCGAGCTTTTGGCGGCAAGATTCTCAGCAAAGTCGATCTTTTCGAGCACCTACGTAAGGCGTCATCATCAGGATCGCCCGTATCAGTGGGCCTTATTGTTGATGCTCTTCTGGGCTTGACCATTTCATTTGAGGAACTGCGGACTGGTGACCAGGCTGCTGTATACGAGTTGATGGAATGGGCGAACCGCAACGAAGCCTTCGTACTTTCAGTCGATGTCCCGACGGGCATCGACCCTACTTCTGGAAAAGTAGCAGTGATTGATGGCAGCCAACTGTTTGTCAAGCCACGATATGTTGTTGCCATGGGAGCTCCCAAGCGGGGTCTGCTCGAGGCTGTGACGCCTCCAGATGAGGACGACCCTCAAAACATGAACAACACTGCGCACGACGACGATTGGCGTCTCTTCATTGCGGATATCGGCCTAGGTAGTGCTGTGTGGAGGAAAGCTGGAACCAAGATTCGACGAGGCATTGACTTTGATGAGAAGTGGGTACTCGAGATGAAGTATTCAGATGGCCAGCATGATGAAACCGACGACGAAGAGTAGCACTAGGCGCAAAAGCAGCGGAAACAAAAAGCTGGGGGATTGATTTATCACATGGTGAGGGAAAATGGTCTGATGGTTTTCTCGAAAATAAAAGGCGTTGGGTGGGACTAGTTATTCTGGCGCGAAAGGAAGGGTGCATATATTATAGTTGCATTGAGGTCACTCGACACTGAATACCCAGGAGTTTGGTCGAAATGTGTATTTCGATTTTATTTATTTTTCGAAAGAATAGATTATTGGCTGATGATAGATTATATACAAGAGATATAAGTTAATCAAAGATTATATAAACAAAAACAAAAACAAAAAAGAGCTAAGTTCGCCAAGTCTGGAGAAGTTTGTGCAGAGGCCAGGTCCCGGGAAACGTTAAGCTTTGCCAAGCCGTTTGTGATTTTCGTGTGCATGTGCAGGCTTGGCACTTTATAAAGCTTGATTCGATTTGTGCCAGCTGTTATATGACGTGAGAAAATGGCTACGATGTCTGACAAGCAGGTTTAATGGGACTTGGATTTAATTAGGAGTTCCGCATATGGCTCATTCTGCGAGTAACGTACGATTTTACTTTTGTGGTATCTCGATGGATTGTTATAGATGCATCAAGAGTTGTTTCTTGAGAGTCCATAATTTATAGTCATTCTATCATCCGCTAATTACTTGGTCGTCATAGAAGACTGTTCGCCTATCCTTTCCACCCCGAGCAGTTTTGTTGTCAGTGTAGAGTTGGATATTAAGGTCAAGTTGAAGGGTCAGATCTATCCACAAGGCTTTGTCAACCGATCGGTAATGTTCGCAACTGTATGGACTTCTTGTTGTATGGACTGCTAGTAGGTTAATTTTGTGGAAAGGCTGCAAGATGTGTTTTATGGATGGATGCCAACCCCAGGATTGCACAGTGTGTCTTTTGGTTTGCGGCTGAGGCTGTCGAATGTGGAGCTATCCAGGATGTTTTGGTGGTCTCTCTTGTCCTGAATACCTAGATACTAAAAACAGTAATATCCGATCTCTTGGATGGAAGATGCTCGGGGCATGGGCCTAGGAAATTGGAACAACGTTTTTATGTACGTGTATAGTATATATCTTGACCAAGATGTGGTGTTTACTTGTATCTTTCATTTGTAACCGTGGCTATCATCAATAATACCCTGATTTCTGTCTGACAAGAAGCGGGGTGAAAATGTTAGTGATCATCGTTATCGTTTGAGAAATTGGGGCTATTCAGACGAAAGAGGATAAATTGAGCGCTCATCAGGGCCTCGATGATTTTTTTTGGGGGTTGGAGAGGGGTCTCTCTTTAGGTTCAATTCCCATTCCAGCCCTGTCGCTTGTCAACCCTGTCGGGCTGGACTGCCACTGTGTTCAGTAAGTACCTACCTACAGTCCACGAGTTCGGTATTGCCGTTGAACCGTCCAAAACTTTACAAGCTCCAGGTGCATCGTGGTAGGTACACCTTTGGTTCTGGGCGCGCAGCCAAAACCGATGACCCGAGAACGGTTTCGCAGATTGTTAATTGCACAACTGAATCGTCAACAACAGCCCGCGCAATGTGCAAAGAGTTACTTGTTGTTTCTTAGTTTTATGTTGATAATACGCATACTGTGATCTGCTATGGAGTGATAGATACCGCTCAAACATCTGACACTGCAAAATACCGTGATCATACAGTGCGTCGCAGCACTCAAAGAGAGGGAGATTCCTTACCCAGTCATCCATAACAAGGAGAACCCC